AGAATGTATGAGTATGGATTGAAGCAGAAATTCTCTTTTTATCTGAAGATACACTGTGTCTTCTCAAAAGTCACAGCTCTTAAATACAGATTTTTATTTCTCAGACTATAAATAGATGCTAGTGTAATTCATTTATTTATTAAGCAAGACCTGTAAGGAATTTAGGAACTGTCCCTTGCCCAGAGATGTGAAATGCCTGCTTTATTTCTTTTAAATGAAAGTTTAAACTCTACAAAGCCAAAAGTAAGCTTTTGGTGAGTGGCTTCTAAATGTGATTAGAGGGGGAAAAAAAAGTTGTTTCAAATTCTGCATGCAGCCTTGAACAACTGGACTCCATCAATCTCACTGGGATGCTGTAAGGTTCATCTGATAAAGAATGAATGGGAAGTATTAGCTCCCATGACACGGATCTTTTACAAGTTTAGCTGAATATAGCAATATTGCAGTTATACAAACACAATACATACATTTCTAATGTCATATACCTAATTTAAAAGTGTAATACAGTATCCATAAGGTACATGTTAAGTAAGTTGAAAATGACAAATGATGGCAAGTAGCCATCAGTCATCATTAATAGAATGTTTTGGGGGCTTACTTTAGTTAGGGTCCTGGAAGGATGGAGGATCCAACATATCCCTTGATGATCCAGCTATAGATGTGAAACAGCACTAATAAAAGGCTGCGGAGAAACAGACTAATAATCAGTGAGAATAAGAGTCACACAGAGCAATCTGCATAAGACAGAAAACTTGAGCCCATGCAAACAAAATATATTTTTTGTGGAGCTGAATGTAGGCTGCCTCTTCCAAAGGGTGGACTGTATTCTGGAAAGTACCGGTCCTGGAAAAAAACTACATGTCATGTCACAGCTGAGAAGCAATTTAATGCAAGCTCCCCCTGTGATAATATGGCAAAAAGGGTGAATTCAGTCTTTGAGTACACATGTAGAAGAATAGTCAGCAGCAGTATGGAGGAGCATATTCCAGTGTCACATACAATGATAAATTATGCCCGCTGCTTTATGGCCACAGTTTTTAAAAAAAATCTGTTGACAAACTGATCGCCATTTTCCCAGCTTGGAAAATATCCTTGCAAGGGATGCTGTCTTCAGTACAGACAGAGGTGACTTGCTTGCAGTTTATGCATACCTAAAGATGAAAAAAACCCCCCCACCAAAAAAAACCAACCCAAAACAAAGACTGCTAGGCTCCAATGACTAACAGCAAAGATGAACGCTGGAAGAATCAAATATTAGAAAACAAGGCCAAACAAGCGGAACTTAGAATTAAGGCACAACTTCCAAAAGAGTAAAGGCGATTTAACAGTTTGGATAAATTGCAAAGTAAAACTATGGATTTTTCATTATCCACCTTCAAATTAAGGCTCTTAAGTTTTTCTGGCAAATATTTTTATGGAAATCCAAGTTACTGGATTCAATAAAAAGGTGAGCAGATGAAATCTACCATCTTGCAATATGTAGGGTCAGGCCAGATTACCTAGTAGTCAGTTAAAGACTTGATTTTAATGGTTACTGGTGACACTTCCATGCAATTATCTGCTTAATCAGTGATCATATGAATAGATGAAATGGGGAGAGGGAAGTCTGAAACTGAAAGTCAGGGAAGAGTGACTGGAAATTACTTCTGGAGATTATACAGGGAAAATTTGGTTAAAGAGTAAACCACTGGGGAAAGCCCCAATCTGCTCCTGAAGGTATGTATAGCTCCCATCTCATGAAGCTACAGATAGCAACAGCTATACATGTAATTGTTTATTTTGCGTATTACTAGCTAATGGCTAAGTTCCTTATTCAACCTTAGACGACTTTCTTATGAAGATCAATGAGCGATCTTAAAGCTCAGGGACCTCCATAAACCTAAATGCCTGCTACACTCCACAGAGTTGGAACACGACGTGACTTTTCCTTTACAGTGAACACATTACTTGGCTCCAGCTGTTACTGCACTTACTTGCTGGATTCCAGAATTAATCCAAGAGGGTTGCTGCTATTTTGGATCAGTTCAGATGCTAGCCAAAGCGGATGTTATCCTGGAACTTACTTGCAGCAACAGACAAGACAAATGTCCTCTCCTGCAGTGTAATTCACTTAGGTGTTATTGGCATAAATTGTTCAGGTATTACCAAGTTTAATTAAAGGTCTTCTTTATCTGTCAGGAATGGGTCAGTGCCCAACTAAAAGCAGTTAGACGCTGTTTTGGGTTTGGCTTTCTTTACTGGTCACTATTAATGATATGTTTGCTCGCACAGTACCTTCTGTGCATTCTCTATAGCTTATTTTCCAGAATCAGATGCTTATTCAGACTCTAAGAAATAACTGTATTTTCCATACTCTTCCTTGAAATTCTCATGATGCAGCAATTTCTTTCTGCCTTAGTCTCTATTCCAACACATTATCTGAAATGCCACTGTTTCAATTTTATATTCACTTACTCCTGACCCAATAAACTTACCTGTTTCCCTGACTCTGCACATGCATTCTTCACTGCCTGCTTGTTCTGTGTAGGTCACCTACGTCGCTGTTTTTCTCCACATCTACCTTCACTCCAAGCTGTCCTATTTAGAGTACCTTGACCCCTTAAATTTCTACAGTTCAGGGAAATACGGAAATGGGCAGGGATAAAATTTTGTTAACTCTATCAGAGAAACAGCTTTAGAAATTACTTATTAACTTCCCATTCTGTATCAGCTAAGGCAACTCGTATTCACACCTCTGTACTTTGAATATGATCTCAGATTAAACAATGGAAGATGTTCTTAGAACGTATTTCTAAGGTAAAATAAAACACCGCTATTTCAGCACTTTTCTTGTTCTGCATTTTAATAGCACCTATATATCTGTTCCATTAACAATACCCTAAATGCTAGGACAATATGCAATATATCTTCTATTTCATCACTGCTCAAGGCAAAGACCTGCATTTCCCTGTTCTTTATGTCTTAAATGACAAAAGCTTTATTACCAGTCAATAAAATGCACTGTGCTAAACCCCACACTATTTAGCATATCAAATATGACTTTGTGACTATAGAGAATAAAGGTGAGGTTTTCAAAAACTTCTTCACTGGCCATGGACAGAGAATTTAAAATCAGTCCCCAAGCCCTTATGCTGCCTTACGATCACACTTACTTCAGAAGATTCAACCAACATGTAAAATGGTCTGCAATGGATTTGGATGCTCTTCAGCTCTCCTGTAGGTTCAGCTTCAATAAAGGGAGTAATTAGATCCGTTTAACATCTGCTACAAAGCCACCAACATGATTTTTTTTTAAGCTTTGTACCAAGACTCATAATTGTATTCCTGATCTGTTTCCAAGTTAAAGTGGGAGGGAAAACAAAAATGCCTTTTACAAGTGAAAGGTGTTTTCTAACTGCTTTCAGTAAAAATACTGCTCCTTTCACACCGCTTTTCAATCAGTGTAACGTTGTCCCTGCTGAAAGGCTCTATTATTGTTGCTAATACGATGGCTCAGTTTTCTAGATGTCAATACATGTAAATGCAAGTAGCCACAACTATCAATGTACTTCTAGATTACCTGAATGATGATACCCAGTTTTTGCTTAAAGCAGTAAAAATACTGATATGCTATATGCAGAAAGGTGTATATGTTCCGTATACACCCAGCCTCATTTTCAGCATCAAACCACCATAAAATCAGGACCAAGGCTGTTGGCTTGCCTTTGGCTGATTACTGAACGTACATTTAATGACCAGTCACAAATCTGCCCTCTTCCACAGCAAAATGAATATACTATTTCAACTTCTTCAGTATGAAGTGACACAGACCAACAAGACATTCAACTGTAGATTCAGTTAAGAGCTTTAATCAAAGCACAGGCAGTAGAGAATACAGTATTCTGATTTTCCCCCCAAAAGATAAAAAAATACTTAAGTATTTTAAAAATTTACGAATTTCAAATTTTCCTTTTACAAATAATATACAAATGTTTTTCACTGCAAAACTTATAATACTATGTTACAACTGTTGCCTTCTTTTAGAATTATGTATTCCCTGAACTGTTCTCCTCAGAAAACAGGAGAGTATAATAAATCCAGAAGTATAGTAAATATATTGCTAACTAGAGTGGTAAATGCTGAAGAAAATTATTCAAAACATCCAGTTCTTTCATCCATCAGATTGCTAAATGAAATGGATGACTCACATGAATTACATTAACATGAATAAATGTTTTGAGTGTCAGGCCTCAAAGCAAGATTGAACAATAGAGTTGGTCAAATCTCCATGCTTTGGAAAAGATGGTACTGTCATGCTTTGCTACCTAGAAAGCAAATAAGCCACTTTGGAGCTTTGCATTTTGGGTTGATTAACCCTCATCTTCAGAATTAATGGTAAGAGAGAAAACAATCCTTACAGACAAAAATAAAAGATGAAGGTAGTAGTTATTGAGATTTACCCAGAAAAGGACAGTGTTCAGAATATGGTTTGTATTTTACCCCAGACAGGTATAGAAGTCTTTTATGTATTATCTGATACCCTAGTACTGGCTTTTGGTTGTCACCATCATCCTCTCTACTTGCCACATTCTACCTCTTACTGAAGTAGATTTATCTCAGACATTTAATAAATTATTCTTCTCCAGAGGCCAGGAGACTTGCTGAAAAAAAAAACCCCACAAAGCACTTCAGTAACTTGTGTTGAAAAAACTGGGGAATATCTGAGAAAGCGCTTTGACTTGTTGACAGTTGGAATTACTACTAAAAAAATGAGAAACTTTGAATGAGGAAGAGGGAGTGGTGCAACAGAAAAAGTACCAACAAAGCTTTAATGAAAAAAAAAATTGCTAAATGTTTTGCAATCTCACTGCACTACGCTGTTGCTCAGCTGGGTCAACCTGCTTGATAGTCTAAAGTCCTGCAAGGAAGGAGGTACCCAGAATGCACAGGAGAAACCAAGACCCACATCTTACAGCCGTGCACACAACAGTAACTGACCCGGTTCATTTTGCAGCACTGACTTAAACAGGAACTCTGTTCTCCTTGGCCCACTTTTTCATGATGCGGACAATGTATTCTACTTGAGAATTACCAGTGCTCTTCAGAAGATGCAGCACTTCCCTTAGAGTCTCTCTACAAAGGTGAAAAGCAAAGATTTAAATGAGGGTGAGACCCAACTGATACAAGAAACAACTACCCACATTCAAGCTATTTTGCAAAACACAATTACTAAACAGAGAGGTCCATTCATCTGCAGAGCAGGAATAGGTAAAAATGCACAGTAGATTATATCCCAGGGGACCCAAAAAAAAAAAAAAAAAAAGTCTTGTATACAATCGCAACAAGGAGAGAAATTAAAAGTAAAAAAAAAAAGTCAGCAAAATGTAATTGGTTTGGAATTTAATGCCTACGCATGTGTGTATTTATATATAAATCCTTACTCTTGCAAAATAGTTCCCAAGAACAAAACAAACTTTTTTTTTCTTCTTTAATGCTACTTGCTAGTCTTCAGTATGGCAACATCTAGCTTAATGCTGCCAAAGCACCTTACACATAAATACAAATAACATGGAAACGAACATTACCAATAGGATAAACCAGTATGAAGCTGCAGTTTGCCACTACTTTACTGCAAGAACTTACAGGCGTATTGAAAGACAGGAAAGCTATGTGTATTGTACTGCATCTACTGCAGTAATTGCTAGAAGGACACTTGAAGGGTGCAGTAGTTAATGAGATTATTCCAGCAGAGAAGGGAATAGAAGGAAAGTGTAGAAGCCAAGATACACACGTACCAGTCATGTACGAAACAGTAACTTTGGCCAGGGGAGAACAGCCATCTGGCATCACAGCAGACTATTCATGAGGGAACAGTTCTTAAATACAGCCTCACTACTCTCTCTCATTCTCCAATCCGGCGAAATGGGCCGAAAGCAAAATTATCAGTAACACAAATTATTTCCTTTAAGCTTTCATCAAGTAAGTATATTTATCCAACATGGACAGTGGCTTCAGAAAAATTTTAGTGAAAACGGAGTCTCATCTACTCACTGTTTAAAGAAATCATGTAATTCCTATAGCACTGAGTAAATGTTTCCTTAGTTTTGTTCTATAAACCTTAAAATGTCATGGGACAGTTTTCCATTCTTACACCATCAACATGAAATGAAGTGCTTTTCCCTCAGTTCATGAACATACTACATTTATAATTTAGCTCTTCCTAGTATAATGACTAATGTATTTTGTTTTCCTACAGTTCATAGCATTTTCAGGTGAGTTATTCTCCACCATATATTCTATAACCGTTGGTGTGGAAGATACACTTCAAATTGAACACTGTATATGGAACCACTGGCCAGAGTGTCTATTCTCTGAAAAGTCAATAAAGAATTGGAAGAGGATATGTAGCTCTAAAGCTAAGATTATGACTCTGGCTTACAGCTAGCTGGAAATAGGAAAAGAGCAAAATAAGTTCAGATACAACACAGAATACTCACTTTGCTTCTCGGCCAGCTAAGATCATTTGAAAGACACCCACACAAGCACCTCTCTTGCCTTCCCAGTATTCAGGATTACTGTCCAGTCTCTCCAGAACATCAAATGCTTTGGCGGAATAGTAAAACTGACGCATCTGCATGGGAAGGGAAACATTTTTCCTGACTATATGACCATCTTTCAGAAGGGGATTAAAAACTTTGAGCTCAGTTTTCTGAAATCAGCAGTAAGTCATAGAAGCAATGTGCATTTTCCTGTTTTTCTGCAGGCATCAAGTGACACAGAAGAGGCACATTTCACTTCTACATAGGGAAACAGGTAGTATTACATTACTGGTCTATGTCTTTGAATGTATTATAGACAAACTGCACTGTGAACTTTTTTAGTTGGCAACGATCAGCACTGTTGTTGATCATATGGAGGTAACACTAGCTTACAGAACTTCTTTTTTATGAGGTGCCCTATCTAGTGTCGTACTGGCTATACCAAAGTCCTTGATAGAATATCAACTTCAAACTAGTCCAAACATTTGAAAATGGAACCACTTTTCCTCATCTGGAGATGGTCACAGAGAGGTATTTGGATGTCTTTTGGGTTTAACTTAGAGCTAAATTTTTTTCTTTACTGTTATAGTACAGTACAAAATAAGATTCAGTGACTCTATAACCCAAAATTTTCCTGAGCATAGGAAAATCCATCATGTACCCTATCTTTTCTGCCTTATGTTCTCTACTTGTAAATAGGAACAAGAAGCAAGTCGGTTGGCCAATGCCAAAGGAGTGACCACATTAACTGCAGCTTTTGAAGTCAGTATAGCTCATGTGGACCTTTTCTATGACTGTGAGTGTTCTTCACTTGGGCAAGCCTGAATAGCAGTGTTGTTTGTGGCTAGCATCTTCCCATGAGAGAGCACAGAAGGTAGACTGAACACAACCTCCCATCCTTTGGTGGCTGGAAACCTGCATCTGCTGAAAAAAAAGGACAAGCTGTGGGAGTTACATTTGAAAACTTTAGTCAGAGAAACACAGGTACTACAGAATGAGTAATAATTCCCTTTTCTTCACATAAATGTTGATTTTATCCACAGGTGACCGGAAAGCATTTAAATGATTGGGAATAAAGATAGAGAGTATAAACAGCATCAGATGTGTCAGCTAAAAAGAAAAAATTGAATACTGATCTCTCCAAACTGGAATCTAATCTAGTTCCACTAAGCAGATAGCAGCAATCTGTTGAGTGAAGTTACAGTCTTAAGTTACAGCTATGGTGCTGTCTGTGGACCACCAATATATATAATGTTTCAGAAACATTATACATCAACACATACAAAAATCTCAAGGGTGGATGTCACGAGGATGGAGCCAGACTCTTCTCAGTGGTGCCCAGCAACAGGACAAGGGGCAATGGGCACAAACTGAAGCATAAGAGGTTTCAGTTGAATATGAGGAAGAACTTCTTTCCTTTGAGGGTGACAGAGCACTGGAACAGGCTGCCCAGAGGGGTTGTGGAGCCTCCTTCTCTGGCGATATTCAAAGCCTGCCTGGACGATGTCCTGTGCAACCTGCTCTGGGTGAACCTGCTTTAGCAGGGGGGTTGGACTAGATGATCTCCTGAGGTCCCTTCCAACCCTTGCCATTCTGTGATTCTGTGAACTGGAAAATGCTACATAAACTCAAACAACATGGGTCTTGCCATTTAGTGGAAGAGGTACAAACAGCTGGTAGTGTAGAAAGATGTTATAATGCTATAGTAATAATTTTTGACTTTAAATTCCTTAGTCTTTGGAGCAGTCATTTATGGCAGTATGTAGACACATAATTAGGCTGAAAAATTTAGTCCTGTAAGTGCAGTTTTTAAGAGCTCTAGATAAATCCAAAATGTGGAGCTGCATCTCCTCTAGAGTACAGTAAGGTTTTGAGAAGAATTTAAGCAAAGTGATCAACTGATTTAAGTGAGAATTAAAATGGTCTGGAGAGAGATTTTACATAAGGTTTGATTGTCAACTTGCTTCCACAAATTGCAGCTACGGGAAACACCAGTGACGCCACTTGCTTGAGCAACAAGACTTTTAAGATGAGATGGCGGATTGAATACTTGACAGATGTGCAAGAGATCATTCACTCAGTTTTAGAAGAATGCTTTTGAGATCACAAGGCAGATTTGCTGACTTTCAGTTATGTGTTTGTTAGGATTTTGAGAACACGTTACTTTTTCAGGTGAAAGAAAACAGCAAAAAAGAATGTTACAGACAGTATGCAGATATTGCTGCTCTTTGAAGAGCTTGGCTGAACTGAGAATCATTAGGAGGTTTTCCAATAGGACTCAGTTTGCTATCATAGAGGTATGATGGCAAGTTTGTTTACTGTATCTCTAAAAAGCCTCTGCGATTAGCTGCTAGCTCTTGTGTATTCACTTGCATTAGGCTCCACTGAACCGGCTCCATGAGCCTTTACATCTATTATCTGTGTTCTGCTCTTCTCACATCTGCCTTCTTAAAACAGTGAACTACTATATTTGCACAACCACAAAATTACAATCTGTCTTTATATTCTGTATTTAATTTAAATTAAATCTAAAACGGTTGCTCCCCAAATAACTTCAGTCTACCTTCTGGCTCTGGCCAATACATTCTGAAAAGTGGATGCCCTGTGTCTCACCATGACACTTTTCCAAAGCACATCCCTTCTGCCTGTCACTGAGCTGCTACTCCTCCAGGTTCCAACACAGTGCAATCATCCATGTACATGGAGAGAGGATGCAGGATACAGTATTCTATTATTGTCTACTGAAATCTTGCACAGCAGTACTCTGCATAGGACAACCAATTTTACTTTCTCCTATAATGCCATTTACAATCCTCTCAGACAATATGCCTCTACATCCATCCTGTGGATGAAACTCTCATGTTTTCTTTCCATGCTTTGCAGAACAGCAAAAAAACTTGAATCAGAGCTAAGTCTCACTATGTGTAGACACCATCTGAAGAATTAGATGTTAGGAATTTAGGCAGAATTGTAATTGGCTTCCCAAGATCTCTTCACTATTAACATAGCTTTGTATAAAGTAAAATTTGGAGGTGTGCCAGCAGTGTATTAACATGGAGCATTGGAACTAGTAAACACAATCTAGAAGCTTAGTACAAGTAAGGTAGCATATATTTTAACTTGTTCTAAAATGCCCAGAGCATCCCTACTGAACTGAGCATTGTCCTGTCTAGCTTGACGTTTAAAAATGTTAGGCAGCTTAGTCTAACCTCACCTCTTTAAAAGTCCCCTCTAGAAAAGGCTCAACAGAAGAACTATTATGCGTTAGCAGGGATCCCACTGTAGGCAGTTAAGCTCACAATTTTTTTCTGAGTTTTATTCCTAATGAGTACACACACACCCCATGTCTCTTTGCCCCACTTGGGCAGTAGAATAATAATTGTGGGAATTCTCTTTCCATTTCCTTATGATTAACAAAGGAGTGTCTCCCATTGCCATTACAAGCTTTAAGGAAAAAATAACACTGTCCCAGAAAAAAAAAGCAGCACAAGGCTCCTTGCTGAATCTATGCTAGCTATTTTTCTTAAAAGTTTCTTGTCATTTCTACCAACAATGAATCCCTAGCATGAGAAGAAACTGTTACCATTATTGATAGCTCAAGCATGCAGTAATTTACCATTGTTTTAATCTGTGGGTTGTCTACCAAGAAGGCCTGTAAGTTAAATAAAGACTAATCCTTGTCAACTCATCTCCATTATTAAACACCCTGCTGTTATAAAATAAAGTTCACTAATGATGACAATGATGGAAAGTATAAAAAAAATGGCTGTTGGTACAATCACTGAATTAACATGCTGTACACCAAGTTCTAAAGAGAAGACTCACTTTGTAGCAATCATTTGCAATGAGCTGCAAAAGGTTGAAGGACTCCCCTGAGGTCTCCATCTTCAGATAGAGCTTCCAGGCCAGCTGTGGTTTCTTATTCATAATATCTGCAATAACAACAAAAAACTGGGATTGTGAAAAGAATACACCACACACAATGCTCAATGGCAGGTGGAATAAATGTTCCTAAATTTCTTTGCTTAATGTAAATGCATGCCTCAGCTGGTGAGCATCAGGTTGGAAAGGGAAACTTGTCCTCTGCCTTACTAGCGATAACAGCAATTCATCAGAGAATACCAACGTCAAGAGGAATAATTATGGCATTTACATCTCCATTTATATTTCACAGATACAGCAATAAGCACAAGTCTCATGATTTCAGATGTGATTAAGAAACAGAATGGAAAGAATTAGAGAAGGACAATGAACTGTGGCAATCCATTTACATGGTGAGATTTAGGATTCTGTGTTCTTATAGAAAAAAATTAATTGGTGCCCACCTCAATCTAAACATTCAATCCCCATGAATCATAGCAAGCCAAAGGGGGCAGGGGGTAAGCAAAGCCCCTGCAAATATAACAAAACTTATCATTATGCATCTACTAGAAAAAATATTTCCAAATTGCTGAAATTTGGTGCTGGTTTTAAATTTGCCTATATGACTAGAATTTTTTTTATTGGCATTTTAACTTTAAACATCACTGCTATACACAATTAAAGTTATAAGAATCTGAATCTTCCATCTCAGCTAGTGGAAATTCTACTAGGGTGTTTGAACACAAAGGATTCCAAACTTTGATTTTCTGGAGATGAGAAGCCATTCTGTTGAATCTGAGGTTGGTATCAGTAATTCCAGACTCATTCAAGTACTGGGAGAAAAGAAAATGAAATTAAGTACTCCTTTCTTTTTCAAGTCTTGTTCTGTTCACACATGGATCACTCTTGTCCTCTTTCAAAAGAGGGATTGTTTAGCTTATTATATCTTGCCCACTGTGCCAATACATATGTTGCAGGTAGAGTGGGTGGCAATATCAACAATAAACATGTAACACCAAATCACAGAATTTATAGACACTTTTCATTTAGGAGGCAGCAAGACATCAAATCAGATTTTTCTTTCATCAGCTCCAGATACCATACACCGTGGCAAACAGCCAGGTCTTAATTTCCAAATACCAACCCATCTATCTAGAGAAATGGAATTTGGTATAAATAGTACAATAATATTAAACAAAAAAATACTGTCTAGCATCCAAAAAGATGCAGCTCTGGTACTTTTTGCCCTTTGGAAATATTTCAGCATTGAATTGTTTACGACTCAATACCTAATCATACTCTGACATGAATGTATTATAATTCTTTGTAATTTCTATAGCAGCTTTTATCCAGAAGGATCTAATAGTAATTTACATACTTGACACAAAGAGATAACTATACTCATCACTGAACAGTTGTTTCTGCAAAGAATTCTAGCAGCTGTTTGGGAATGAAAAATCAAAATTTTAAAGACAGACACAGACGAATACAGCAGCTCTACTGAAACTTCAGCAGCAATTCAGAATGGCAAAAGGCACACTCAAGAATAAATAGCAACTCGTATGAAAGAGCTAGAAAATTTTAATTGATAACACAGTGTTGACTCTACTTCTTGTATGGTAAGTAGCACCTTCCAAGAGTTCTGCATCCCCAGAAGTATGTCAAAGAACTACTATAGCACAGAATCAAAGGGATGAATACTGTCTACTGAAAAACCATGATTTCCCTTTGGAACAGGAGTTCTCCCATCAAAAAAAAAAAATCACATAAAACATTCATATATAAAAGACTCAAATGCAGCCAGGTACTGCAGCTTAACGAAAAAGGAAATAAACTGGCATGTCCTAGAAGGGAGTTATAGACAGGCATCCATAGGTATGATATGCCTGTCTGGAAAGATATTAGAGATGTTGTATGTGATATGGCATAATGTCCCAAAACAAATGTATTTACATTCCAGCTATGACTACTGAAAATTATATGATAAGAGAACATTTTTGTATTGAGGCACTGTAAGGAAAACAAATTAGCCTAGGGAGTCTCAGGTTTGAGTCATCAAAAAAGCCCACCTCTGTACTACTTTGGATGTGGCACAGGAATTTGAACAACATGGAGCATAACGCAGTAGGAAGAAAAATACCACGTATGCCTGCCTGATTCTTCTCTTCCCTAGACATCTGACATGGACTGCTCTTGGAATTAGACAGACACTTGGGCCTGACCTAGTATGGATACTTCTATTTTATGTTTTACTCTTAACATTTTAGAGTTGTAACTCAGTCTTTTCAGATAGAAAATCTTCACTCAGGCAATCGAATAGACAGTTGAGAAGAAAAAGGTTCACTGGTTAGGACAAAGCTGCACTGATGGAACTATAACAGTGCTGCACTAAAGCAGTAATTGCTTGCTAAAGCCAGATGTATGAAAGGTGCAATAACCACCCACGCTATAAACAGTGCAATCAGCTTTTCACTTTCACAGTCCTGAATCCACCTACAACATTAAATTCAATTAAGAAAGTGGATTGCCAAGACTGATGCAATAGAGGAGGATCTGTATTCTGCAACGTTGAGGGTAAAGTGACTCACAGCAGCGAGCTAGCCAGCTAAGGTAAACAAAATCATTCTTTATCTTCTCACTCTGGATCAAAAGGAACACCTGCAGGAAGAAGGAAAATAAAAGATTACACATGCATGTAGTTTTAAACAAACAGAAGGCAGACCTGCCTCATTTGAACATGCAGCTGAAGCTTAAGCCACATGAACAACTGCTTCATGAGAAGAGTCGGGGTATGCAAGTGCAGCGCAGGGGCATCTCTCTGTGTCAGGTAGGTGGAGGATTCAAACAGCGCCCTGCTTATCAAGGGACTTCTGCAGCTGCAAAACACCAAGCTGTGCAGAGGGTGCGGCCTGCGCTGAACAAGTGCCAGTGGGCGGCCATGCAACACAAACAGCACAAAGGAACACTAGGCCTGTGGGAAAAGCTGTTTGGAAAGTGTTTGTTTAGAAAGCAGTGCAAGCAATTACATTAGCATCTTCTTGAAACACCAGAAGTTTCACATATATATGAACCTTTCCTCCCCATACATGTCAGAGATCATTCCAGGTCAGCAATAAGCCTTTTCTAATCATTTTGGTTTCAGTAAGGTTCCGAGGCAAAACATTCGTCTCTTGTAACTTACTGCACAAATACAGGTTTATTACATTCTACATCTAAAGGGATGCGTGGAGGGGAAGTTATACATTTTAAAATGTACTCTGGCATTACTCACAGAAAAAAAAAAAAAAAGCTCTTTTTGCCTCTTTGTAACTATGCTAGGATGCTACTGGCAAAACTCAAAATACCTTTATAGGAGCAGATGTATGTACTGGAACAGCAAGTTCCACAAATTACTAACATTTTTATTGGTTAAATATTGCTGATGCCCTAATTTTGGGGGTGGGGAAGAAAAAAAAAAAGCAGTATTATCAGTGTAAGTAGCACTTTATCATTGGTTTTATTTCATTATGTCCAGGGAGGTAAGCTTGTTAATAAGTGCTATATGTGGAGATATTTTAGAAGTTTATGAGACACTGGGGAAGAGTGATCTTTATATGAAAGTGTCATCACAGGCAAAGATCAAACAATACTAACCAATTTAGTTACATAATCCTGTTATTTAAACGTATCAGCTACATAACACAAGTTTATCATTTGTAAGAACATAAGAGGAAAAATGTGGATTAACAGCAGTTTACACCTTTGTGTTCCTTTGCTGCCTAGCTGTAGCTAAAACTTACTTATAGTATTATCATTTTTATCAGCTTAGCCTGCTAGTATAGTTTTAAGATACTCACCTGTGTTTTCACCAAGCTGACTAAATTAAGGTAGGTGAATTGAAATACATATCCATTTTGCCTGACTTGTCTTGGATATTTTTTTTTGAGAGATGCAATTTCAGGTCACAGAAATTAAGGGGCTGGGTGTTGCGGGGGGGGGGGGGAGCAGGGGAAGGGAAAAAAAAAAAAAAGGTGGGGCTCTGTTGTCAAGAAACCTGAAGAGTTAAAAATTTAGACAGGAAAAAAGGAAAAACAAACAAATAAAAAAACCCCAAACCAACCAAACCTATATGATTCACTTTAGATGACATGGTTGGTTTTTTGTTTTTTGGGGTTTTTTTTCTGGCTTGTCTTCTTCCTGGTCTTGTGGAAAATGTTGCTTCCATCTTCATAATAGCTATTTGTTTCTGCATATTTTAGTTGTAATTAAGTTTCTACAGCACATAGACACAAAAACTGCTGTGTGTAGAAGTTAATCTCTTCCAGCTGCATCTGGATGCTGCTGAATAAGATAGTGAGCACTTCCTCTTTTCCTCCCACATCTCCCAGAGGAAACAATTATTTATTTATTTATTTATTTATTAAAGCACGGATTTCTAGGGACACCTAGAAGATCTTAACTATTCAGCGTCTTTTACTCAGCATGCCCTGATTGGTCTGAACAGTAAGACTGCCCAGGATCTGGGAAAAAGCATAGGAAATCTGATTAAGAGGGCATTCTTTGATCAATTAGAGATAGCTACAAGCACTCTTGTGATGCATCACAAGCAGCATGACTCTTCATATACCTCACGTTACAAGATTAGCAAGATAATCTTTTCTGAATAGTGTTCACTGAGAGTTTCAGTTCCTCTAAGAACGGGAAGATGATGTTCCACAACCTGCTTACTTTCAACCAACATGAAGATCTGGAGAGAGAAAAGGAAGGAAAGAGGGGAGTATGTGGGAAATGTTTCCATTGTTGTTTTTTAAAGTAAGGGAATACATACCTCTTCAGCCTCACTAAAATTGCCCATGGCAGCTTTGGCTTGGGCGTAGTTGAAGTTAAAAGTGTCATCATTATAGAAGTAACTCTGGAAAATAAGCCACACAGACAAAACCCAAATAAATAAAACAAAAAAACCCTCCTCCCATGGTATAATAACATTAAAAATATTCCCCCCACCTTCTCAGTCTGAGTCAGACTATATCTAGACAATGTGAAGGAAAAAGAAAAACCCACATTATGAACATACAGCTTTTATAAACAGTGGGTAGAAAATTATGGACTGGCTTTCCATCCTACATTCGTGACTACAAACACAGCTGGAACATTCCACAGTATTAACCATGAGAGACCTGGAGAATGTTCCAAGCTCAAAATTGCAGTGGCAGCTTTTATGTGTGTAATTTTCACTTTGGGCATGTGAAGACATGCTGAGCTGCCATGGTCTCTTTCACCTCCCAAGCACTTATTTCACCACTACGGTGGTAAATAGGCAGTTGACTCCCTAATGGCTTAAGGAGATGAACAGTTTGTTTTTCCAAGACTTCTCAAGGTTCAACAAGAGATCCTGTGGATCTGGTTATGTGACAGATGCTAGTCTGACACACTGGATCACATGATGGAGGTGGAGCTGCAGTACCAGGCTGTAACCTGGCAGCACACCATGTAATAGGACTTCCTCAAGCTCAAGCCTTGCTTACAGGCACCCTTCTCTGAAGTATAACATTAAGTTTTTCTCTCCCATAATATTAGACTGGACACACCTGGCTAATGACAGATCAGGTTAATCTAGCTGAGTCTTTTCTGAAATGCTGCATGGGCCAAAGCAGGAAATATGACTCTAGGTACAGATTAGCCTGATGTTTGGATTTGACCCAAATATCTTAGATTTGATCATGGTCAGATGCCCAGATTGAAGTATAACTCAGACGACTAAAAGTCAGCTGAGTGTATTATACATTCAGCACTGTCCCTCACTGCTGCACTGGTAGACCTGGTGGAGGGAAGGTGGAACACAATACCACATCTACAAGTGAAGTGCAGTGCTTGCGAAAGAGCAGGGGAAAAAAATCAAGGTGCAAGAAAACCTTTCCTGTGTGCATAACAGCAAGGCGTGCAGAAGAGAAATGTTTTTCCTTAGAACATCTATGACAGAAACACAACTTGTGTAGGAAGACCAAATTTTTGTTTTGCTCCCTTGTTAAAGAGGAGGAGGTAAAAAAGCTCAACTGGGGCTGTACAAAAGATATGGGAAGCAAGCGACAAAACCCTTTCCTAGTGCTCTCTATTTTCTTTAATTATGTAAGGACACTTGAGGAACGTCTTCGCTTCCCTGTCACACATAGTCAAAAAAGGGTGCTGACCCAGTCCACCCAGTACATCAAGCCAGTGCCTTGGAGAGGAGGGCAGGGCATGGCCACCATTTGCCAGATGTCTAGGATTCACCCAAACAGTCTATGTTAGGGTCCAAAAGAGCCAGCAAATATAGCAAGCTATGTGAAAGCATGAGGCTGAACCAATCGGATGAATCTCAAACCCATTTTGTGAAAACAGTTCAGTACCCCTAGGGTGAAATAACTGGTTGCACCATATGAGAATTACAACACTTTGCTGTATTCTTCTTCGATGATAGTTTCGTGTGAATCAGCACAAGTCCCAGGTTAAGCAAAGCTGGTGAGCAAGATGCTAGTTTTACTGCGTGAATAGTTCCTTCTATTCAAACAGCCTCCATTGTATTTTTGCATTAAAATGGAAAAGAAACTCTGTCAGCAACCAAACTCAAAAACTGTGTCATTCTACCCTGGCTGTATTAGTGCTAGACACCAGACCTGCTGCAAAACCAAAAACCAGTAAAAATGAACTAGTGCTGCTGATAGTGCAACATATTCGCAGCAGCTAGATGGGTTTCTTTTTCTTTTTTAAACCACTGGACTTCACTCTGTTGCAGTCTTTCTAGTGGCCTTCAATGTTTTCATAAAACTAACTGTGCTCGGAGTGATGTCCGATTCAATGAGATGCTCAGATACCCAGTTGAACAATGAAGCATTCGTTGTGGCCAGAACTCAGCTGAGCCCGAATTAGCTTGTCTTCTCAGTTCATCCTCAGTGTTACAATGTCACCCTCAGGGCAGCCGGCAATACATTTATAATAAGGTGTCCTTTGAGACATTTTCATGCCTAAAGCAGTTCTAATCAATCATGGATGAAGGTAGTGTTTCCTGAGAGAGTATAATGTAAACAATCTTCAGAGTGCACAGCTCCGCTTAAAGAGCTGCAGAGATTCTACTGAAGTTGGTTCCTGTGAATGAAACACAAAGGTGACCGTAAAGCCACCTAAACCTTGCCTGTAAAATGGTACAGGAAGAATTATTTGCATCCCTCTGACCTGAAGAGGAGGGGAATGACCTAAGTAAATCTGAGCAGTGGCTAGTCTCAACTAGAAAATGATGAGTACCAATTACTTCAAAAGTACCATGCAAAGAAAGTGGTGGTAGGCAGAAAACTTTGTCCCTTGCTATTTATCAACTGCATTATGTCTCAAAGTACTAGTACTTACGATTCCCTTCAAGAATTTAACAAATACGTATTTTACTTAAGCTTGACCATTTTGCAACTTGCTAGATACAATCTATAAAACCTTCCAAACTTGCAACCTCAACCCTACCTTGAACTATGACAATGAGTTCCATAAACTGTGTTTTGAGAGGGACAAAATGCATTTTCTTAGAAAAGACATGGTGAATTTGCTGCAATTCCAGCAAGCAGAATCTTGTTTTCAGCCTCTAATAGAAATGGAGGTTTCAAATCTACCTTCTTTATCCTAATCCAAATTTTGTATCATTTTATTTTCTTAACTTCTGTCTATAGCAAATAATATCTATCTTCTAAATAACTTAAGACCGTATTTCAATTTCTAATTATTCTCTGAATCACCTTTCTCTCCGCAGTTCAGGGGGAGTGCCCAGTATTTCAAAATAAGAGTATACCAGTGTGCAATGAAATGCATCAGTCTTTTTTAATACTGAATATTCTTTACTTAGCATAATATTTTGTATTGTCCTTATAAATGCAGCCACATTACAACTGTGAAAACTGAGGGAATATTTAAAAAAAATTATTATCTTTGCCTAAATATGGGTCAAATCAGAACACATATATGGTTACTGATGCCAAAGTCATGTATACATGGAAAAGTCCAGCCTGCAAGCTGAGATCCCCATATATATGTTATAATGTGCAACTGTAGTTCTACATACTTTCAGCAAAATAGCTAAGTTTTTAAAACAAAGCATCCAAACAAGCAGCAAAATAACCCTTCCCCGCCCCTGTGCACACATAATAAAATCTTTTCTCCCAAATCTGACAAGGTAAGAACGCTCTTTCTTCTAGCTGATAAATATAGCAGGATTGAAGACTTGCGTACCTGTATCTGTCATTATTTCTGTCTCCTTCCTGACAGTTTTTAAACATTGTATCTGTTCCTCACCTATATTTCCCTCTGCATGGGAGATAAATATTTAACAAAATAACACTGAGTATTCTGTGCTCTTCCTTTTCCCTTCGTATTGTCTTTCCAACCCTTTCTACAACACTTTCCTTTATACCCTCACAGGTGCAGAACTGTCTCACTTAATCCCCTCCCTGTAGCACTTCTCTTGCCTTATGACTCTGACCTATCCTCTGATCATCCTATTGCTCACTTTGACCCTCTTGATTTCTGTCTAGTGTCTTGCTTGCTTCTGACTCTTTCCTTTACAAACACTAGCCATGCCTTACATTCCAGTAATAATTACTCTATTTGCCTCCCCAGATGCTCCCCTTCTCTCTCTCTCTCATTTCTAAGCTGTTGTGGTTTAACCTGGCAGGCAGCTAAACACCATACAGCCGTTTGCTCACTCCCCCTAAGTGGGATGGGCAAGAGAATTAAAAAAAAAAAAAAAAAAAAAAAAAGTTCAGATAATGAGAATTTAATAGGACAGAAAAGAAAGGGAAAATAATAATAATGATAGAAGAATATACAAAACAAGTGATACACAACACAATTGCTCACAATTGCTCACCACCTGCTGACCGATGCCCAGCCAGTTCCCGAGCAGCGGACCCCTGGCCAGCTTTTCCCCTAGTTTATATACTGAGCTTGACATCATATGGTATGGAATATCCCTTTGGTCAGTTGGGGTCAGCTGTCCCAGCCGTGTCCCCTCCCAACTTCTCGCGCACTCCCAGCCTACTCCCTGGTGGGGCGGTGTGAGAAGCAGGAAAAGGCCTTGACTCTAAGCACTGCTCAGCAGTAACTAAAACATCCCCTTGTTATCAACATTATTCTCATTCTAAATCCAAAACACAGCACTATATCAGCTAGTAGAAAGAAAGTTAAGCCTATCCCAGCTGAAACCAGGACATAAGCTTTCCCACATGCCTCGGAGGTGGTGAGTAATCGCATTTAACTTTAAGCTTTTCAGGTTAGAACTAGTTTTTTAAGAACTTTTTTAAGTAAATGGAAAAAGCCAGGTATTTCTATGGGGTGACTCATTCCATTCTAAGTGTAAGAAATACATAGGATTAATTTTACTCCAGAAATTACCATCTTGCCCCCATTGGCTATGGACTGAGACCAGATGATCAGTTATAACTAGAGGTCAGTCTTTTAGATGGCTCAAGTTGGGCAAAGCAAATCTCATTGTTAGTTTCCAGCTCTCCTTTTTTCCAATTACACACACACTCCAATTTGGGGTGGTGGTGGTGGGATGTCTCTTCATTCCACTCAATGGAGCCATTCCAGTGGCTGTGGCTACCTGGGATTTCTTCAGTGACCTCTTCCAGACAAAGTTTAAAAACACTGCACCTTCATCATTCTTATCAGCTGCTTTTGGCACCATTACAGCCATGTATTTTTCTTTAGGTCTCACCCTCCCTAGAACATTTTAGTTGTCTTCATCTCATGCATCTCCCTAACCATTTCTTTTTAGATTCTTGTTCTTCTTCCTACCAAATACAGAGTTCTTACAACTCTAGTTTCAAATCAGTAGAACAAGACTCTAGAATGTAGACAAGAATGTAGAACAAGACTGCAATGACTTAACCCTAAAATCACACTCCAGCCTCTTTTTCCTCACATCTGATTTATAACTGAATATCTGTAAGCTATATCCATTTTATCCATTGAATACTGGAGATCTGATAATGCTGCATTATAGTACTGCAATCTCCTTCTCTTTGAAGAATGCAACACTGCCTGCAGGGTCCCACTCAGATTACTTCTGCAAGAATAAAATTCCTAGCTTACTGCTTTGGTAGTACTGCCCTATCTTAGCCCTTCCATGACTGCTTTCCCTATAAGATATAAGCTTTAGTACTTTCAGGGTCCTTCACGTCCTATCTTCCTTATACACTCTTGTTCATTAAAATGTTATCCCCAATTATTAACCAGTGACAATAATCTCCATCACTCATTTGATAAGTCTTAAAAAAAAAAAAAATTGTTTTTTTTTTTCTCCATGCTGCCCACTCCATAAATATCCACAATTTTTTTCATTGTCTTCCTTTAATTATCTTCCTTGTCTTCTGTGATGCCACCAGACAGCCTGATAATGGTTAAATTGCAAGTGTGATAAGAGCCCCTCCATGCTGCACAATGCTATCTAAAGAGCTTCCTTACATTTTGATCCATTTGTTGTATGGACCAATGTTCCGCTGCTGTTCCTGTGTTTCATTGTTACTGTTGTGTTTCTGTATCTCTTAATGTTTATATAGTGTCTCACACAGTACAGTCTAATTCCATACGTAGTAATTCCATGCATTAGAGTACTACCAAATCTAAATAATAATACTAACCTTGACTGAGTTGAGGTAAATCAGGACATTACCGAACTGTCTAAGAAGAAAGAAGCAGGAGGACATGCACTGTCTCCCTGGAATGGTATCTAAAATTCAAAAGAGAAATGCAGATTTATAGAACTTAAAAATCACATGGTAATGGAAAACATTGTCAAGGCTGCTGGCAACTATGAAAGCATCTAACTTCTAAAAGGAGTGTAACTTGCCTTTTCAAGGCAAAGGACCATACTAGAGGTTAGAAAAACTACTAGATCATCTTGTCAACTTCCTCTACAGCATACAATAACTACTGCAAGACTGTACTCAACAGCAAATTCTACAGAGCCAAATTGTTTAAGTAACAGGCCTTTTCCATGACACAATGTAGCGTAATTGTACCGTGAATTATTCTTAGTCTTAGGAAATTACACTTGATACAAAGCCTGAGTTTGTTATTCTAACCTCAACAGCCTTTTTTTCTTTAAAATCATGCTTTTCAGTTATCCTGGGCGAAGAAGCTCTACATATTTTAATTTTAGTTCCAGTAAAAGAGTAAAGCTTGAGACACTGAAATTATTGTTATATATTAAAAAATTAACACACACAGAGGAAAAATACTCAGTGATTAAATACAACATTAAAATTAATTTTCATGCACTTGGGATTACCACATTGCTCACAAGTGGTAAAGCCATAAGGCATATGACTGTCAGTAAAATTTGCTGCCATCTATGTCATCATAAACTTTGCTGCCATCATACTACGCTGTCATCTACTCTGCTAGCTGTGTTACTCAAAAACTATTCTAAAGCTTTTTTAGAGATTCTGAGGTATGCTCAGTAGGACTAATTTTTGTTAGCTCCAACCAGCAGAAATTGGTCAGCAGTGGATGAATCCAAGTAGCAAGCTGGGAAGGCATAAATCCAACTGATGTCAAATCACTACTCTTTCACTACATCAAATGATCATTAGTCCTGATTTCGGTTTTCCATGGCATCAGAGAGCATGTTGCTCTGTGCAGTTTGGTGAGGTGACAGGAGATAAGTTCCTAAGGCTACCAACAGCCCTGAAGTAATCTGCTCCTGTAGGTTAGTTACCATCACTCCATCCACACTAGAAAATTAAAATATCTTTTCTGTATAAGAAATTTCACGTATCTGAAGACCAATATTTTTACTCCGTATCGCAGCACAAAACGTAGCATTCCACTGGAAAATTGTACACTCTCCTTTAAATAAGGTAGGGTAGTAATTATTCCTGGAAAGTACTATATAAGATCTCAAAATATATTTGAAAGGAAAGCAGAATATTCTCATTTTTTTTATCTTTTAGCATTAGGACATACTGAGTTTGATGTCCTGTCATTTCCATAATCCAACCGTATCTATATCTGAACGACGTAATTCAGTTCTCCAACTTAAGAAAATTATTTGATTATTTATGAAGTGTTCACTTGGGAGCACAAACTGGCCTGTATATTTATCTGTCCTCTTTTACATGCAGACATACTTATCATTACACATATATGCCTTGACAGTACAATAACAGAATTTTCCTCAGTGTTCCTCTGCGCTTTTTTTTGTTATGCTGAGAATACAGATACCTCAAAAGTGCTCCTTTTCTCTCACATTCAATTTTTGAAGTTCATAAACTCACAGCAATTTATTTTAAACAAAATTTAAAAAATGCAAATAAACATGCAAAGACGACTTAAAACTGACAATACATTTTCAGTAAAAATTAATCACAGTAGCAAAATATTAGAACCACACTTTTCCCCTATATGATTGGAGAGTTTCTAAGTTTCAGTATTTATTCTTATGTCCACATTTTGGCAGAAAATTTTGTTACCCCAGCATACCACCCACCACATACTTTTAGTGAAAGATTTCATTAAAAAAACGGACAAGTAAAACATCTGTAAATCTCATACAACTCAGCAATGAATGCTACTAGTGACAAGAAAACTAGAGTTTTACAGTTGTAATTCATCCCATGTGACTCATGCAGGAAGAGGAAAAAGTTCTCATTTTTAAAAATTACTTAGGGTGACCTAAGAATACCTCAAAGAAAAGACTGCACAAAGTTTAGAAGAAATGTTTCATTCCTCCCACCCAACACTAGACATGCCTGGCTTGGTCCTAAAAGAGGACTACAGAAAATAAAAGGGGTGCCTGTCTCCATTATCCTTACAGTGTTTTTAGGGTAGTTTGCAAGACTCGTGTTAAGCACCACAAACATTGCATTTAAGGGAAATGCTAATGTTCATTTACTTTCACTAGTGTTCCTCTTGTCCCATTTCCTCCTTATCTTATCTCAGAAACCTGATCTGTTTGATTTTCCACCCCATTCAGACCCTGGGAGAACAGCCTGAGAATTAACTCTAAAAATCTAGTTATATCCTCCTTTGTAATGCCAGATTAAGAATTTTTATTAAGCTTAAAAAACCCCCAGAAACCAAGCTGCTGTTCTAGGTGTTATTTATTGCTGCTACGGGGTGAATATTGACTCCTACACTGTAAGTGCTTCCTGTTTTTTTGTTTTGTTTTGTGTGTCCCTACTCCTCTTAAAGTACATAACTTCCAACACGAGATGAAATGTGTACATGTGTTGGAAAGGACTTTCACATTAACTCTGTTTGCTCTGTGTTCCTTGAGCCTTCAAGTCAGAGATGTAATTAAAAATAGCAAAGTGCTTAATTGGTGACTCCAAATGACTTTACAAATACTGATACTGTATTCTTCCTACCCTGTCTGTTGCTGCTTTTTTCTTAATGCAGTCATGGGATTTCTACAGTTAACAAGAGCAAGGCAGAAAGATAGGACCTTGTTTTGAAAAAACATTCCACATCTTCATTTGAATCCATTAATTTTTCACAATCCACATTGAAATCTGGAGCCTTGTAGGCCCAGTTGCGAGCAAAGACACAGCATAGGATTTCCTCACTCTAGTGAGCGCAACCTACTTTTGTCTTATAAATCTGCAAAGCAGCTAAGTAACTTGATAAAGATTTTAAATAGACAATGGAGTGGTACTAGCTCCTTGCAAGGACTGGCACAGTGGGAAGTGCTGAAGCATGACTTACATGCTTGAATAGCACGGCTGGCTACTTAGGAAAAGCCCAAGTATACAAACAGCAAGAATTCTGTTCTCCATTCTAAATCCAGCAAAACAAAGGCACCAGATCAAAAATGACCACAAATATATCACATAGTGGCTAATATGCTAAGTTACATAAGAACATAACAATTATCATATTGGGTCTAAAGTCTATCTGTTTCAGAAGCTTGCTGAGTAAGAATATACAGCTATAGAAAGAATATATTCTGATATCATGTATAATACATGCTGTGGTATGTAATGCTACTTCCTTTGAAGTTTCTCCCAACTTCCAACAGTCTGCAGTTCCTAAACATCACTGAAAAATTTGTGTTAAACAGCTAATGGACTTTTCTTCTACAAATTTCTTTATACCTTATGATTCTCACAAGATTCTATATCAAATTAGTTGTGCTATGTAAAAAAGTAAATCATGATGGTTTTTTTAATTGTCTTACATGATGATTTATGTTAATGCTCCTTGGTTTTTTTGTATGGTACAGTAACTAATTCTCCTCTATTCCTCTTCTTGTCATCTGTGATGTTCTGTATCACAAACATAAACAAACTCAGTCATCATTTTCCAGGCCGTGTATCCTCCTTTATTTAATCTCTCCTCATTCAAGAAGCTAGCCCCTTCCTCTGATCATCTTTGCTGTCTTTATTGTACCCTTTTGTACACTCTTTTGTACCTATTGTACCCTATTTTTTTTAAATGTAAGAACCAGAACTGCAGACAGTATTCAAAAAAGGGAACCACATCGGTATACAATGACACAGTATTTTTGTTTTGTTCTCTCTTTCCTCATCAATTCCTAAGATTCTCTTCAACTTTTCTGATAATTTTGCAAATATACTTTAACCTTTCCCCCCCCCCATGTACTACTTTGCATTTATCAAAGCTAAATTTAATTTGCATATTATTACCCAGCCTCATATATTCTTCCACAGCTTTCATCATTGTGGAAGCTTTCATTTTTCCTACTATGGGTAATTTTGTACCATTGGCAAACCTAGACATGTCATTATTTGTCTCCTATAGCTCATTAATTATGAATACGAGCTCTTTCTTTAAAGAAACAAAAGGTTCTTTCAAGTGTTTAAATCAGGTGCATTTCATCCTTTTCACTGCTACTTCACTGAAAATTTTCTGTTAGAAATGGGAAAGATTATTATGTAGCTTCCCTTCTTGAAATTAGTACTGTGGAAATTTTTTGAGGTATTTGCTAACACATGGATTTTGAATTTGATTATACTCAGATCACTGTAACAGAGTGGGATTTTCATCATAAAATTTCAGGTTCTGTGTAATCTCTGTACTGGTCTAGAGTCACCTGTTCACTTGTGTGTTCTCTGAGAAACATGAAAACTTAGCATTTAAAAATTCATTCTCTGTATCATGCCATGTCATTGCATTTACTAGGTCAATATGGGCAGAATAGAAGGCTCCAACTATTATTTAATTATCTATCTAGATAAGATCTCTAACCTCTTTAATATGCCAGTCACTGTTCCCATCCAGGCTGGCTGGTGAATAATTTAGCCTCAGTATGATGAGTCTCCTATTGGAGCATGTAATTTAAAACAATTTTATATTACTCATTGATAAAGAACAGATATTTACTTTATTTTGAGAAAAGGTTTCTATAACGTTTAGAACCATTTCTCCACTGGCATAATCTATTTCATAATAGCCCACTGTAAATTACATAGGAACAATATCCTACATGCTACCTTCCTCCTATCATTTATAAAATTATTTTAGGTTTATAGCCTCCTCTTCTAAAACCAGGTGTTTCACTTTATTCATCTTCTTGTAAAATATCTAATAATTGTATAAAAACACTTACATATTTGGTCTTCATGTGTTTGCCTTTTGTTATGTCCCATCTAAATTGAACTCTGTTTGCCTCTTCTATTTCCTATCTACAGTTTGTTGACGTCCACCTGTCCTTCATTTGAGGATACAAAAAACCCCTCACACTGTTTCACCTTTGAAGGAGGAATTACCTTGAACTGTGTGCTCTTCTGTATGTCAACTTTCTCCCACAAGTTTTTAAAAAGATGACAGAGCAGTTTTTACATGGAAGTACCAAGAGTGTAAGATGCTTGCAGTACTAATGTTCCCATTTACCTTTAGTTGGAACCAGTCCTTGCCATAGACTCATTTTTTTTCAGTTAACCCACCTTCCTAATCAGACTACATTTCTGTTCCCTCCCCCTCCCCCCTGCAACTGTACCTCAAGTCTCAGCCTCTCTATCCTGTTTCATCTATGGGTTTAAAAAATATTTCACAGTAAAATTAAGACTTTTAGCTTCCTAAAAATTTCAATTTTGTTTTGGTGCTATATATTCACTATGCATCTTTTCAGGAAATCTTTTCTCAGACTATCTCTGTATTACTTTTATCCACATGTGCTATGGTCACTCATCACACCTGCATGACTGTTTACAGGCATTAAGAGGTCTACCACAATTGTATGAGTCACCTTGTGACTTTACCGACATCATAAACCCAGTTAGCTATGTGCCTGCTAACCGAGTCCTCTGCTACTACAGTTCATATTGCTTCTTTCTGTTAGCAGAGATCCCAACTCCAAAGGGATAGCCTCGACACAAAAGGAGCGTTAGGGAAGCCTAATCTATGGAACCAGTTCCAGCCTTCCAGCGTGAAGTTCTCTGCTGCACCATCTCAACAGTACAAGGGCAAGGGGAACAGAGTGGCTCGAGTATTTCTGAAAGTTTCATCAGTGCTGCCGTGTTGTCTCTTGAGCTCCTTCTCTTTAGTCACCACGGACACAAGAGACAGCATTCTGTCTCTGAGGACCGTGAGCTGTTTGTACCATAAACATGCATAAGTAACCCACCCAAAGAAATAGTCCTGCTGACAATGCCTACAAAGGAAACTGGGAAGCCCCATTTTGGCTGAATTTCTGTGTTCCAACTACTGGCTTTTTCTGATTTTACATTTTTGGTTTTACTTTGGCAGGGGGAAGACAATGCCTTGTTTTGGTCTATTATTGAATAAGTAAAAGTAAATATTGAAAATATGTTGATTTTTTTGGTTGGGTTCTATCATGTGTTTTCCAGTTCAGCCAAGGAGTTAGTCCCAGAGCCTCCATTTCTCTCTGTACCCAAATTCTTCTATGTTTTTATCACCCTTGGTTCCAGGGCACACTCTGTGCTAGGACTCTATGTACTCAATAGGCTTTCATTAGCAGTCCTAGATTTGTACCTGTGATTGTCTGTACCTGTGAGGTTTCAGCACACACTTCATCTAATTAGGCTGCTGCCTTTTGTTTCTATAATGGGGATTATTAGTCAAAGGCAAGGTGCCACAGCATCTATCAGTGAAGACTAACAGTTTGCAGTATAGCCTCTTTTCCAGCCAAATTCATATAGTAAGGTTTGGAATCAGTTGAGCCTTCTAATTTAAACTTGCAAATTTGTTTTGGATTATAAATTAGACTTTCTGTTACTCATATTATAGCAACAAAATGCCTAGCAATAGTCATGCTACCAATCAGCAGTTAGACAAAGATATGATGGTATGTATTTGGATATTGTAAGAAGGACTATATAACTGAGAAAAAACATTTCAAACGCACCACATTCGCTGGCTGATTCACCCACCAACTGGAAGAACTGCTGAGCAATTTTCAGATGATCTCTCTGGGAGAGGGAAAAAAAAATAAATCCAACGTAAGTTGCAGAGTTGATGCTACAATAGACAGTGAAAATACATTCTGAGGAACAGATGGGGAGCAACTAACAGGCAAACCAGGGCTGAAGTAAAACCAGGTAAAGTAAATGTGCTACTGTATGTGCCTAGATACGTAAGAACACTGTAGAAAGCAAACAGGTTTTTTTGGAAGCAGGACAGAGAAGCCAAATTCAGCTTTATTTATTGTCAGGACTAGCAAGAGAGATTTGCATCTCACTCATTCTGGACTGAGTACTGTACAGAAGAAGATAAAGAGACTCAGAGGTCCTGCAATCTAAATGAGAAGTGACTGCCTCTTTCACACCATTCCAGTCCCTACAGATCTGTTCACATTCTACTGTTGGAGAAGCTGGAGAACCTCATGGGCTTCACTCACCGAGCCCATTTCTTGTCCCAGTGCTGCATTTACCACTCCTTTGAGGATGTACTCCTGGGAAAAAAAAAAAAAAAAAAAGGATCAGAGAAGACAACGTGAATATTTTAGGAGAGATGTAAGAGTCTACATGCACATTATTTTCTTCCTAAATTCAACTCTACCTCAACTCAGTTTAACAAGTAGCTGGTTACTATGACAGTGCTTTAGCACAGTAGTACAAAGTTATCCCCCCAAAATCCATTCTACTTTCTAGCTGGTCACTTCTGCTAAATATGTGGGGTGCAAAGGGGTGGTGAATTTTCTGATAAGTCTTATGCTCAAAGACTATGCACCACAAGGAACACCATAACATACTATCATGTGCTCTTCACCATTACATGACCAATGATCACGTGCAATATTGTTATATTAATGCACAGGTCCCACTTCAAGTATGCACATCGGTTAACCCTAACCACTACCATCCTTGCTCCAAAATGCATAGCATTTCTCATCAGGGCAAAAATGTCAAGAGGTTTGTGCTCCGTGGCCATGTTACTCTTCTGAAATTAGGAACACGAGTAGAGTACCCTGTAATCTCTACTGTGAGATACAACTGTAGCTTAATTCTTCTCTGAGCAAGATTTTCTCAGTATGTAACAGACTCATTTGTCTTAAACAAATCTTATAATTAAAATTATAGCTATAAACCTGTTTTAGCAGGTACTCCTGATAAACCTGGACAGTCCTGTCACAGATACAAACATGGAAAAAGGGAGACACATATAAAGATCAACAATGGAGTGCAGGAAACAATCTGAGAGTACTAGCCAGCATGCTAAGTAATCATTTTAGCACACCGACTCTCTTACAGATGCCAAATTATTATCCTATAGACATCATGACAAAGACAAAATTTGAGAACTGAACGAGGATACACAAGTAGTTTTGCAAGCCTTAGCGGGGTGTTCCTTCCAAGTGTGAGTGAGAAAACGGAAAAAAAGAACAAAGATTCTCATTTCAAAATGTGATCAAGAATGATATCATGTTATTTGTATTAGGCACTTATATGGAGAAAACAGAGGCTAAAGGACCAATAGCTGCAGAAAACTGCTCAAGTAAGTCTTGCTATACTGAAAAATGCAAGGAGAAGTGAAAAGCAACATCAGAAGACGCTCCTCAGCACAAAATCACCAGATCTGTGTTCTCAAGGTTTTCCTTTTCCCTCCCTCCATCTAATCCTCACACAGACTCATGAAAGGTCCCTTTCATGCCCAGCTATGTGACCTTTGGAAAATAAACTGCAAAGAGGAATAAATCAGAGACTAAAGATGTTGGAACAGCCACAAAAGAAAATTACAGTAACAGCCAAAGGACACTGCAGTTTTCACTCATTGCAGCCAAAGTGAGATGGAATTAGAAAAGAACTATTATTTAAACTGTTTAATCTAATCTAGCTCATTTTTATCGAAATGGCTTCAGGACAAACCACATGAGCATCTGAGCTAGTAGATCTGCAGGATGGTAACCATCACCAGGGCAGAAGTGATAAGTAGCTGTAGTTGGAAGAGAGCTTTTATCTATGCACTAACGGTCAGCTCACTAGAATCAAGTCTGCACACAATAGAGGTGTATTCTTATTGACCCCAGGTGGTAAGGCAATAAACATGCTAAGTACTCATATATGCTCATATGTAATACTTTATGCATGCACATTAAGTCTATTGTTGATAAAAAGATGGAGAACACAAAAGTTTTAAAAGTGGGAATGGGGCAAACTGTCCTCAGGATACTAGTTTTGTATGTGGCAGATTTTATGACAATTTATAACCTCCATCTTTATGGACCATGACATCAGTTTCCAATTACCTGTGGAGCTGTAGGTTCCAGGTCCTTAATCAGGTTATAAGCCTCCTGTACATCATCTGAAATACCAGACATTAGAATGCATGACAAGCCATAGCACACTGTATTAGAACAAGTCACTCATCCTCTACAACATTCCCCAAGAGTCAAACACTAAGAAATAAAGCATTTAGACAGGAGGAGAAAGGTAACTATAAATCATTGTGAATTTATATCACAATGGTGATGGTTTTCTAGAACTCAAATAACAAACATGGAGTGAGTAATAGCTGCTTTACTACTACAATTTTCCTAGTAGAGATGACTTGGCCTCCTTGTTCATAATCCAGTGGCTGCCTTCTCAACAAACAGTACAAGGTCAAGATAATAAATCCATCGTCTTCCTGTCTTTTCTGTTCTCATATTTATTTACCGCTCAAGGAGGATAGGGTAACATGATTCTGAAGGGAAACTTCATCTTTTCCATATCAATATTTCAAAATCTGTGCAGCAGCTCTTACCTGATCCTAATTCTAACAAGCAAAAGGCACTACTAGTATAGAATTTTAAATGTGAAGTTTGAATTCAACAAACAAATTCCTTCCCACCCAAGAAATAAGTAAACTGAAAAGATCTTAAACTTTACCTAAATCACAGAAAGATGTTTGCACTATGGTCAGCTTCATAAACCAACCTAGATATCCTTTTTACTAGCAAAATTTTGTTAATACAGCATTATACCAGCTGCCCATAAGAACAAGCCTTATCAAACAAAATTTTTTTTTGCTGGTACATACCATCCATACATCATGGGGACAGTACTCCAGGGTAACTTAGGCAATACACATTGGAGCTGCCAGGCTTCCATCCAATCCTCTGCTTTCCTACCCATTCCCTTGAGCGGTCATGTAGCAAGCCAGCACAAGGTACTAGACTAGCCAAAAGTCGTAACTTTTTTTTTTTTTTTAATAGAAATAGGTTTTTTGTTATTTTTGGTTAGCCCAGCTCACCAACGACCAAAAAACCAAACCCAAACCAAAAAAGACAGCAGTCCTTATTTTCATCAGCGTAGACCATCAACACAGAACTATGCTCTTCAGGCTTCAACAGAAGCCTCTAGCAAATCTCACCGGAGCAGATTATGACTGAATACCTGGCCCCAAGCCCTGCTAAAAGTCACTACCTTAAATAGTTGAAAAAAATGGGATACGTGTTTGTGCTTCAGTCACTCCAGTTCAGAGCATGTCTTAACACAAGCCTACCTTTATTTGAGACCTTGTAAGTTTTGGAGAGACAGCTGTAGTCATTACAAGTAAAGATTTCTCACATTCTTAACTAACGCTGCTACACTAGCCAGAGTCTAAATGGAAACTTAGCCTAACCAGGAAAGAGGTTTTAATCTTAATTCCCCTTGGCTTTGTCTGTGAGTATGCAAGTCATTTTATACCACAGTGAAGAACAGAACCTAACTAATGAAAATTACTGCAAGGTTGACAGCAAATGAGTAAACAAGACTGATTTTTAAGTGATGCAGAAGACGTATTTTGCTTCTGTGCAAGCAGAACTTAATTTGAAACATATATTATTATTAACAATATTATTGGGCAAGATAATCGGTAATAATACCAATATTACCTATAGTGATATTGGCAATAATTATACTGGACAGAAAGGTGGCTAGGAACTGCAGGCATAGATTTACCAATGCCAAAGTGTACTGACTAACCCAATGGATGACTGGTTGTATGCATAAGGGGATAGTAGTGGGTGCTGTATACCTTGAATTTAGCAAGGCCTTTGACATAGTCTCTTATACCTTTGTCATAGCCAAACTTGAGACATAGGACTGGCTAAGTAAGATGGTAAGGGGATGGAAAACTGGCTGGACTACCAAAGGACAGTGATCAGCTGTACAAAGTCTAACTGGTGGCTCATTACTAATTGAATCCCCCAATGATTGATAGTGCTGAATGTCCTAAATTAACAACCCAGATGATAAGAGAGAGTACTCTCAGCAAGTTTGCAAATGATACAAGACTGGGGAGAAAGCTTCCAGCTACTGAGAAGAAGCTCAACAGGCTGAAAAAAAATGGGCTGAAAGAATTTTAATGAAGTTCAATAGAGGCAAAATGCAAGTCCTGCATCTTGCTTGGTTTGAAACAATCCTAAGCAACAAGACAGGCAGGGGTCTGACTAGCTAAAAGGCAGCCTGGGGGTCCTGACAGGCAGTGCACCCTTGCAGCAAAGGAGGCCAACTGCACGCTGGATCATATTAGCAAGAATGTAGCCATCAGGGCAAGGGAAGGGATTCTTCTCTATTTGGCACTTGAAAGATTGCTCCTGGAGTACTATGTCTAGTTTTGGGATCCCTTGATCAAGACAGATATTGAAATACTGGAGTGAGTGCACCCAAGGTCTCCCAAGGATGGTAGGGGGCTGAGGAGAGATTGAGAGAACTGCATTTGCTTAACTGTCAGAGAAGGCTCAAGGGAGATCTTATAATTGTCTACAACTAATTAATGAGAGAGTACAGAGAAGATGGAGGCAGATTCCACAGGGTGAGATGAGGCAGTGGACACAAGGTAGAACAGAGGAAGTTCTGACTAGATGTTTGTCTGGACAAGGCTCTAAACCTGATCTAACTGGACCTGCCTTGTATAAAAGTTGTGCTAGAGATCTCCAGAGGTCCCTTCTCACTAATAATGTGATTCTGTTATTTACCTAGAACTCTATAAATGTATACAATATAAGGCAGGTGATAATGTACTTTTAATAATATACAGTTGTGATCATTTGAATTTACTTGAGAATATATACCTAATTTACAACCATGATGAAATTTACATAACCCCATATGAAATTTAAATAACCTTATTGTATTCTCTAGTATCAAATAAAACAAGACAGGGATAGAATTGCTGTATTTTGTGAAGACTATTGATGTCTGTAGATTAGCAAAGTCAGATTAATGACATTTTATTGCACAGTATTAGCCACAATAAGAATTTCTATAACTGCTAATACTCATCAGCAGTGGGATATTCTAAAATTTGTCACAGTCTGAGTTGAACTGAAACAATGAGGCAGTGTTTCAATTGCACATGCAGACATAAGAAGCAGTCCTAGATACAACTGAGCACGAAAGAGAACTTATTCCCACTATAAAGATTAAATCTCACCAAACTTGTTGATTACAAATAATAAAGACATTACTCAGAATCAGTATCTGAAACTCCAAGTCAATCACACTATAAAAACCTCACAGAGCTTTTTCTATGTACTATGTTTATGTATGCTCAGATCTTATTGGGATGCAAAGAATATAAAGTTGGTGTGACTTGCTTCTGCCAGCAGAATATATCTCCTTTTTTTCCTGGTAATTTTTCAACTTTTTGGAAAAAAAATAATCGCAGGCATGGACCTTATTTATTTAAAAAGTAAAAAAGGACATTTTTCTGTGTTCGGATGCTCTGGTCATCTAAACTTATTTTGTTACCTTTGAAAGGTGACAAAATAGAAGGCTTATAAGGAAGCAGTTAACACCTACTCATCACTCAGTCAACCCACTGTTGAATAAAGGAACACAGTGGGAGAATACGAATGGCTCTGAAACTAAACTCAGATAAAATTCAAAGGAGTCGGCCAACTAAGGAAAGAAACAAGCAGAAAATCCTTTCCAACCAATTCTGGCTACCTACCTGCATTCTTTAAGAGTTGTAAAATAGATTTGGAATGAAATGTCTTGTTCGCAAACTGCAGCTTTTTTCACAGCCACTTTGGCTCATATTCTGTTTGTGCTGTATTTAGAGAAATAGTTGTCCTTGCCTTCACAGGACATACACCTACCATTCTCACATATTCAGGCAGAGGAGAGGTCCTCTCACTGTAAACATATAAACACCATCATCCCCAAAGCCATCTCCTGCAAGCCAAGAACTTCCAATACTCTGCTGCTGTAGATTTATTTGACTGCACACAATTAAAGCCCTTCTCTGCAAGCCATGGGAACTCTTAGATCACTATTTTCCAGAGGAACAGAAAATGAAATAAATTACATTTTATTGCAAAGGAAAAAAAAAGCATTTCATGGAATAGTCAGTTGAGATCAGATGAACAAATGTCATCCCTGAAGCTATGAGAGAGACAGAGGAAGGTATATTTACCTTGCCGGAGATAGTAAATCACAAGATTCAGTCTTGCCTCAGGAATAACATCAACCAGAGGAGGCAGGACCTGCAAAGCCCCTTCTCCTCCTCGGAACACCACCTGCAGAGAAAAGCAGTATATTGATACCTGCATATCAAAATCTTATCTATGATCTCTTAATTTAAGGAAATTAATCTTTAAATTTCTGTATTAACAGTAGGAAAAGGTCAGTGGTACTGGCATTAGCATAATCCCTGCTTTAATACAACTATAGAATTACAATGTGTGACAATCTTTATTCTGAAGAATATAAAGTATTTAATCCATCAGTAAAGATTAACTTCAGCTTTTAGCAGCTCAAAGCAGTGATATATTATATATCAAAGATTTTAAAGAATAATATCATCTGAGACAAGAGTGAGGAAACGTACAGAATTAGAATTTGCTTGTGATGTATCCATATGAAAAAAATTAGGCTAACAACTCTACATTTATTTAGAATGCCACAAGATCCTAAAATGATCAGGAGCAGTCAATTCTTTATACTTCAGTTTCACATGACAGTTCCTCCAACAAAATATAACATACTTATTCAATAAACTGTCGGCAAAAGACCAACATTCAAAATAAAGAATGTTAACTTACAAAAGTCAAGTTTGAAAGCAGTTTTAACTCTTGGGGAAAAAACTGTCAGCTTGTTGTGACTGCTCTTGAAAAACAACAAAGTAAGCAACTGCCCATCATTAAATAAGAGCAATCTACTCTTACCAGTTGTTCAGCAAAGTAATAATATCATTGCAGGGAAAATTAATAGGTTATTAGTGACTCTTTTACTGCAGAACACATAAGTATTTTGGCTTTTATCAGCATCTTTTTCCCTATGAACTCCTTAAGTACTTTTTGGACAAAGACCATCTTAATTCTACTCACATTGTTGTCATACTAAAGAAGAGTTCAGGGTCATGCATTCTGACTTGTTTCTACAGTGTCCGTACTGACTGGGCTCCATTAGAATAGCTTACAAAGGTGTTCTTACAGGACATAAATTATTTTAATATGCCTTCTGGGGTGAAAGCAACAGCATTATTATTTTCTTGACACAGTCTCAAACTGACAGGGAAAAATTCCAGGAAAAAAGCCACACTTGATGGCACATTGGTTTTGCAGGTAGGATTTCTGGAATGGGACTTATATGGCAGCAGAGATTCAATGGGATCTGCAATTCACAAAATATTCCATTTTATGAATCATCAAGAAAAGCTCTACAAATGAGTGAAGTTCATATTAAAACAGAGAAATACATTACTCGCCAGATTGTGCTTAATGAGCTCCTTGCCAAACTCAAAAGATGATGAGGCACTGTCCGTCAGGTTCTTGAGCTCTGCCTGGAATTACATACATTCCAAAATTTTAACATGAAAACAAAGAGCACACAAGCATAAATAGAGCTTCACATGAGCCCTGAAGCTGGTAGAAAGGCACCGCCAGCAGTGCTGGATCACTAGAAGATTTTTGCTTTCCCACTTCTACGTGATAATTTCAGCAATTGGATAATACATATAGACCCAAGGTCAAAAGCAGACTGAGAAAAATGTAAGACCACTGTGCACACATGTGGACAGATGGCTTAATACCATGGAAACTGAAATGTGTGACATTCCTAAGAGAAGGACACAATGACAAGATAAAGGCCATTATCAACATTACTGATTAAGACAGTTTAACAAGGAAAAGAAACCTGTATGGAATCTTGAACTAAAACAAAGGTGAGCTGAAGGGCGGTCCAATAGATACCTCAGCAGCCTTCCCATTGTAAAGACGGAAATGGTTACAAGCCTTAAGGTTGAGAGCAATGGTACTGTCAGGAACCTGCTGAAGATAAACAGCTAGCACTTCCTGTGACACATCATAGTAATCCAGTTTGTAATAGCACAGGGCCACATATACATTCAGAGCCAGGTACTCCCTGCAGGAAAGAGGATTAAAGAGAACATTTACATCCCACCAGATATTTATACTACAGAACATTAAAATCAATGATAAAGCTCTCACGTCTATACGTCTTTTACAAGCACATCAAAACTGGGTTTTCTGAGAAATGCTTATTAGATATCTTTAGAGCTCTAGTTTGTTAGGTAAGATTGCACAGATCCAGATCCAGATTCACATTAGCTTTTTCAATGGCAGCTACTGCAGCTTTAAATAATTACCTACAAAACTGTTGGTTTGCAAATCTGGGAAATGGTGGCAACTTCACGCTAAGGAAATGCACAGAACATGAGCACTGTACTTGGCCTGGCAGAACAGGATTTTCTACACAATACATGCAAAGACATTTAATATGCACATAAAACCTTGAAAATATTTTAATGTATCTTATTATCTTATACCAAGTACAGTTATTTCAAAAAATCCTTGCCATTACAAGCTATCCAGCCAGAAGAACTAGGCACAGAAATAAGACAAACATTTCTGGTGACAGTAAGTAAAAGGATAATTGTTAGGAAGGTTACTCATTTAGTTTTGAATGATTGCTTCTACAGGATTTGGAAGGTAACTTTTTTTCCCCAAGCATTACACGACATACTTATATACATTATGATGGACTCCCAGCTTTCTCTGAAGTATTCAAGAGGAGATACTGCCAAAAGATAGCTATGTATGCTGGGACAGCAGTTTCTATTTTATTAAACAACACTTCCAGCCACTTAAGAATTCAATTTGTTCCTTGTTAAATTCTGAACTAAGAACTTGCAGAAAATGATAAAAAAAACCCCAAAACATCAATGAGTGTCGTAGCAGAATAAATAGAAATGGAAAGAATTTCAGACTTAAAGGAATGCAAGGAACTCTCTACATAAAAATTAAGAACTGAACTCTTCTTGGGAAGGCTAAGAGGTGAAGGAGAAGTCAATAATCACAAGCAAGGGTCACCAGACTGGCCATCAGAGGGGGGGAAAAAAAAAGACAAAGCAGGTACATAACCATATATAGTTTCAGAATACGTAAGTAGCAAAATAAAAAAGGATCTCAGGATGAATTACAAGAAAATATCACTAAAAGAAAGCAACAGACAGCAGACTTCTTTTTAAGCATGCATTTTTCAATAATGATTTGCAATGAACAAAATTGAGGGGGCTGCAAATTGTGCATGTTTTGTGGTGGGAAAGGGACATGGTAATTGGGGAAAATTCCTACTTTCAAAAGCCAAGCAACTAAATGGAATTCAAATACCAACAGTATCAGTGACACTGCAATAAAGTTTAGAGTAGAGATGCCCACCGATTATCAAGAAGAATGCGTTTGTAGATATCAATAGCTTCTTGGTAGTGGGACCGCATGTAGTGGATAGATGCCAAGCTAAGCTGATCTTCTGTAATGTCTTGCAGATTCTGGTGAGAACTCATCAGTTTCTTCTCATCACTAAACTAAAAAGAGTGTGACACATTCTCAGAAGCGTTCAGCAAGAAAAACTTTTTAATTAGCTGGATTAGTTTTGTCCTTGCTGGCAAACAGCAGGTGATTCATATTAAACATCTGGAAAAACTCTGTTACTTTAAAGTTAATTTGACCAGTGGAGAAAGCCAAACATTAAAGAGGCAGACTGGTTGAAGCTAGATAAATGTGAGGCTAAAACTAAGTACACATTTTTCTTTAAGGTGTAATTTAGACATAATTACATGTCACATGCCTTGATGGATAAGAGGGGAAGAGCTGAATTAATTATTTCACAAACAGAATTTTGCAATGCAAGATTTGATTGTTATTATTTGACCCAGCAGAAATTTTGCTGTTTGTAGATCCAAATCTTATTTCTCACAGAGAGCAGAGAAATGCAATACTTGCCAACACACAAGCACTAATTTTCACAAGACTTCTTTACAGCACTAACAAATCCTCTTTCATCAGCCCCTTAAAATTCCAGTTTCTTTAACTAAATGATTTATTTTTAAAAGCATTGTTGTGTAGCACATAACACACACAAGGAACAGAGTTAAACATACCCGTTATATTTGTATTACAACAGTGAAGTTGAGGCTATTCACCTAATCAGTCGACTCTAATCACTTATTCCAGTGCTCACCTTTGCTGGTTCTGCTGATTCAACAGTAATTATGAATTTCTCTTACACACAACTTTTTATGTCATGCATTTGTTTTTCCTTTATCCGCTCAGTTTTCTTCAAATCTTTTTCCTCCTTCTTTGAGCCCATCACAAAATGATACAAAGGCAAGAGAAGTTGCTTAACAGAACTAAGGGCAATGGGCTTCATGGTTTTGCAAAACCCTTTATTACCAAAGACTAACTACATGAACTAGGAATTATGCAACTTTATCACAGACATCTATAAGTGCCAGTGCCACTACAAAAATGTTTTAAGATTTTTCTCTTAAACTTAACAGAGATTTAAGTAAAGAGAAGTTGACATCAAAACTAACATTCAGGATTTATACTTTCTTTCACCCAAAACTCAGTCTCTTCAGTAGCACAATACTTGTCAAGTATAACACAGGATGGTACAACCCCAAATTTAAGGGAAGATAGCTATGTGCGGTAAGTTAAATAAGCATTTAATTGTTATTGAAATTGAAGTAAATTTATGCTATAAACAATATTACTTCTTGGATACTAAATGACTTAGGAGGATCAGTAATAGCACATAGACCATTTTGCTCAAATTGCTAAGTGTAAGACAGCTGCAAGTAAGGAAAACTTGGTACACTTCAAAGAAAAAGAGTGGCTTATATATTTCTGATTCTATTCAAGTCCCAGGTTCCTCATGATCAAAAATACCATCAGGTTCCTGTTGTATGACTTACATGAAGTGAGTTGGCAAGACTTTGCTTAGATACACGCTGAGGGCATCTATTTTGAGATCATGTTTTCACACTTACTTTCTCTTCCACATTTTAATACAGTAGGGTGGTTGTGGAAAACGTTTGTTCTCCTGCCACCACAGACATTTTAATTATTCTGCCAGGTTGCCAGCATAAATTACACATTACCCAACTGAAAAGAAAACAAACAAAGCATGAGTGAAGAAAAAACTTCATACCTTATGTGCCAGGTGAAAGAGTAAACGGTTCTGGAGACGACTCTTAGGTGCTGTAAGAAAAATTCAGTAAGTATCGCTGCAAAGAACAACTCAGGGTGTCTCTATTTTATTTTTAACTCCCTTTCTCAATAGACATACGTGTGCCATATTCTCTCATTAACTAGCCCAAGTACAGTTCTTTCGAGGTCATGCCCCAGGGCAGGTTCTACCAATTTTAGAGTGGTTGAAAGGCCTTCCTGCTTCCCGTCTTCATTCCTTGCCCATCTCTTTTGAAATCCCTGTTGAAAGTAATTTTTCGTTGGCCTCTCCCTTCCATGAGCTTTAAAACTTTTATGAATTGCACTATCATTTGCCTGCGGGGCCTTCTGGAGAGTTTTCTGGTTTTGCACAAGTGACACACAGCACAGCATCTTTTACAAAATAAAAAGCAGTAACAGAGAAACTCATAATCAAGACCCATTCTACGATATGTCATATTTGAAGTAAGTTGTGATTCATAATTCTAGGAATCTTGTCAACTTCCATTATATTGCAAAACCTATTGCTGCTACCATTTTGTTATGTATGCACATTACATTATACTTAAGCTTTAATATTTCTTCTGACCTTAGGAACAAAAGGCACATGAAAGAATCCTGCAGTCAGAGCAGATAAGATTCAAACTGAGATATGGCGGAAGATTTAAGGGAGACATCTCCTTTCTAGAGCCACTAAAGTTCATGAAATGTCTTGCTCTAGCGGGATTAGGAATTCCATTTAACTCACTCCATATGACACAAATTGTTAACTGTAGAGCTCTAAGTCACTAGAGAGAGCCTTGTGCTCACTGAGAGTGACAAAGGTCCTTGTCCAACAGAGCTATTAATTTCTTTTGCAAGCAATCTTCCAAAAAGCCTTCCCTTGTTTCCTGTATTTTATTTAGCCTACTCAGTTAATGAGCACTCTCATTCTTGCTCAGACCAACCAGCTGGCAAACCTATGTTCCACAGAAAGGATGTACATGGAATCCTTACAAAAAGCAGAATTACTGTGTTTATGAGGCCACAAAAGTGCAGAGTTAGCAAAGCAATGGCCTGTAACACAAGGCTATAATTCTTTAGACATCCTAAACCATGAAAGAGGGCTCAAACCACCAAAACCTCTTCCCTCCCCCCCTCCAAGACAGAATTTTCTAGTAATAAGTTACGATTTTTATTTTTTCTTTTTAAAAAGCAATTTAGGGAGAGATTTCCAGACTTCTTACTCTTTCTCCACATAGTAAGAAAACTTTGTAACACAGTGAACGATGCCAAAACCCAGGCCATTCTCATCAGGTTGGCAGTGTAAGGCTGTCTACCTACTTTTGATAGTCACAGCAATTATTTCTCCCCTTTTCTCCTTCCCAAGCTGTGCTATTTAATCATGTTCCTAGAAAAAGAGGACAGTGAATTGTATCTTTAAAGAATTGCTAGAATGGAGAGTCCCAAAAGGCAAAAGCAGTATGAGAGTTCTCACAAAACCAAGACACGTTGCAAGGCATTGCTAACAGAGCATCAAGTTGTTAAGAAGCTAAATGGTCTTCAATCTAGGATAAACATGGGAATTCTCATTAGCCTAATCATTGAAGAACAGAAAGTTTTTCTGATCTACATTTAATATGGTATAAGCAGCAGTAGTAGTATAACTGACACAACAGTACAGTCTAGAAATTATTTCATGCATTGAGTTACAAGTTCGAGTACCTTAATTTAAATGCATGTTCTTCAAAATGTCAGCAATGATACTGTGGTAATTCCACATGTGCCCCAGCATTAATTGATAGGTTTTAATATCAAAGTTTAGAAGGGTTGCACATGGACCCCACATGTGCTTTTGTGCGAAACTTAAAGCAACCACAACCACCCTTCACAATTCAAAACATTTGGTCATCAAAGACTCCAAAAATACGAGCAGGACAGATTGTGGGATTTACACTGAAAATAACATGTTGTATAATCACAGTACTATGGGTAGAGACACCAATGTGCCTTTTTAGAGTAGGTTTTGTTTCTTTTTTTTTTTTTTTTGAGTGGGTTTTAGCATTAATTTCACTGTGAAAATTGTGACTTGCAAGCAATACTCCCTCAAGAATCTAAACCAAGGAATTCTTGTTTCACTGGTCAGCCAGTGACTGCGGTGCTGCCCTCGCAAACCTGGCATCTGATCTGACATCAAAATTATTATTTACTTCTTGGTAAAAGCTGGAGGGTTAGTCCATGTTATTTTACACCTAAAACCAGGCAAAAGATGAAACCTGATGGTGTGCATGGACACACGGAGGAAGAAAAAATGTCCTGCTTCGTAAGATATTACATAATATTATTCATTTAATGGTCTTTAGAATAAGACACTTTTACTTAATGTCAGCCAGAGAAGGAGAGGGGCAACCCCCCCAGAAACACAGTCCTGTCTATATAGTAAGCAGAACCATGGAAACATTCAATATCAGCAGTTTCTTTTCTCCAGAGCCAAAGGCGTTTTTTGAGGAAGACAAGGATACATATGAACAAGGTCAGATTAGTTTCCAGAAATAATTTGGTTATGAATATTGGATAAAGCTGTTGTCAATCACTGGAGCAGGAAGTGATACAACTGCCTTATCAGAGATAATGATTTTTAAGGGACATTAGGCTTGTTCTTTTATTACTCTCTGCTGCTATCAAATTTCATTGTTGCTGATCTATTAATGCCACAAGGAAGCACAATCTTCTTTTCCTGTCCTACTTTTTCAAGAAGACAACTGTACATTATTTTTTTTTTTAAATCGATACTAAGCAATCTAGGGATCATAGCAAACACGGTAACAATGCTGCATGGCAACAAACTGGACCCTGCTCCAGGTCTAGTACTGGCCTTGTGCTGAAGACATCACTGAGGTAGCTGGACAGGCTATATCTCTTTCCAGCTAGGAAACACACTGATACTCCTATGCTAGAATTTTTGTCATGATCAGCGCTGATGTTCCAAGTGCTAAAGTCATAGCTGACATTGATCTTAAAAGCATTCTGTGTATTTTTATGTATGTGCTGACACTGAACAGACACCTAGTGAAGTATTTGTTAAAACATAACAGCTACAGTAAGAGTGAAGACTGTTATCTTTACTAATTATTAAACAAAAAGTTAATCTCACTACAAATGGCAGCTCAGATTCTTGGTGGGTTTCATATTACTGCCACAGGCAGCAAGAAGATGATGAAATACAGTCATGGACTTTGAGGGTAACAGAGCACTGGAACAGGCTGCCCAGGGGGGTTGTGGAGTCTCCTCCTCTGGAGATATTCAAAGCCCACCTGGACGATGTCCTGTGCAACATGCTCTAGGTGAGCCTGCTTTAGCAGGAGGGTTGGACTAGATGATCTCCCGAGGTCCCTTCCAACTCTTGCCATTCTGTGATTTTGTGACAATCTAGCATTTGTGCCCTCTTGTAAGAGTGCAAGGTGATACTGGTCATGCACCCAGCATCAATAAATCCCATCTAGCAGACATAATGCATACACTATAGCAGCACTTCACACATTAACAGATGTAGAACACATCTTAAACATATATTGTAGGAGCTGGTAGGAATGAAACAGTGCTGAGAAGGTTCCGGCCTGACAGCACAGAAAATATGACCGGAGGAAATCTTATTCTCCTGTTCCTGAGAAACAACACCCTGCTCACCTGAATACAGTAGCTGAATGTAGCCCTCTGTGCCTCAGAACCACAGTCTCACTGGTAGAGGGAAAATGCAAGGGTATGGGAAAAATGTTTGGAAAAAACATGGTCCAACAGTGAGGTTCACACTTACACACACTTGAATAGCTCAATTGTTCAGAATTTTCTTGAATGAATTTTACAGAGGACATTCATTGAAATTTTCCCATTCCCAAAATACTTAAGAGCCAGTCCAGCTACGTTCAGTTACTTGCTGTATATACACATTTCTTTTCAGCCACGCCTAAGCACAGTAAGTTAAAGATCACCGAAGCAAAAAACTATCAATTATTTCTCTTCTGTAGTTTCCACCGTAGTTCAAAAAGCAAAAAAGAAAATAGGGTTAGTAGTTTTTAAAGTTTAAATATTTATAAATTGATATTTTCACTTGTGTACTTTGAAAGTTCCATATATCAAACTCTGCTGGTTCAAAACCTCAGCTAAGTGCAATGAAAATAAACTACTGTTCTCAAGAAATACAGTACAAGCAGAAAGCAGATAATTTTGCATGTACTTGAATGTGCAGTCTAAAGAAAAAGAAAACCCAGCAGATTTTCCATGCCTGTTTGTAACTGCACATTTTCACTGGTGACAACTATCTGACACCTGGTAAACATTAGTACGTGCACAAGCAAAACTGGTTTAGAAAACGTCATTGTTCTTACTAACCCATGTCTGTTCTGCTTTTGTATGATATTGCTTCTTCCAGTATTGGCTGTGAAATGAGAAGTATCTCTGTTCAGTTAAACCACACTCAGATCTGACACATGCGGAGTTGTGATGAAGTAATTATAAAGCTTTGTGCATCAAAAATTAGAAGGGAGAAAAAAAGGAAAAAGAAGAAAAAGAGAACTTTAATGACTGGTTCAGCAATACAACCATGTCTGTGCATGAATCTTAAATTTAATTGTAAAATTTTGTTTATCCTAAAAAGACTGTTTTTCATAACAGATTTTAAGTGCAGCCCCACTTATGTGCACATTTTGTGGTTTAAAAGAACGCTGTTAGTTCTTGTGTTTTTCTTAATGCAGTGCTAGCCAGCAGCTTCCGAGAGCACTATGCAAGCTTCTAAACACTGGGATCAGTTGCCAGGATCACCGTGCAAGTGTGCCAGGTTGTTTCTGGTCCTTGTCCTTTGCAAGGCACAGGAACTGGGAATGCAACATAAGAGTATTTGGTTTTATAATTAAAAAATAGTAATTTATTATTATTATTTATTAAACCCAGATGAAGATTTTCAGCCTCATTCTCCCAAGACTAGATGGGCTAACACACAGCATGGAAAACATATGTTCAGCTAATGTATGAGAGCACATATGCAAAAGGAGTACACAAAGCTTCAGTTGGCAGCTTCACTACAGAATGACTATGAAACAACAGTAGCTGACTTGAAGTAACTCTGCCTTCACCTCATATCCAGGAACATCAGTAACTGTAATGTAAGGGGACAGCAGGGAAAAAGGAAAAGCCAGAAATATCTGAAAGGAATTTGGAAGAAAGCCTAGAGGAGACAAAGTACAACTGTAATGAAAAACCTTCAAAGAAGGATTTTTCTTTATTGCCTTTTTGCTCTACTTCTTAGGTTATATTTGCAGTAATTCTGGTTTATATGACTTTTGATATACAGATTTATTCTTTCCTGAGAGAATGTACCATGAAGTTTTAATTAAGTAATGACAAGCTGAGAGAACTATAAGAACATCTATTATAAAATAAACATAAAACCTTGCTCCACAAGAGATTGTGGACTACATATCTTGTATGAAATGCAGTAATTAGCTCATGGCTTTTAATGTTAATTTCCTAATTTTTAAGTATCCTGCATATTTTCTCCTGGACAGTTAACAACAATATTTTTCTTAGGCAACAGCAACAGTACATGGCAAGAAGGAACTTCTATTTGATTTCTATTTACATGTTTGTGTGGAAAATCTATTCCAGAAAGCTAGCTGACATTTATGTTCCCTTTCACACAGAGATTCCATCATTATAGAAATTTAGAATTATAGCTGAAAATAAATTATTTCTTCCTCATTTGTTTTAGCACTATGCTACTTTCAGGGGCCTAGCATAACTGCAGCAATAAACAGCAAGCAGCATGCAAGAATTCAGGCAAAATAATCCCCAAATGGCAATGGTAAGCAGCCCAACACTAACTCACTCTATCATTTTTTCAGTAGTATTCAAGGCAGTATTGGATAAATGGTGTTGTTCTAGAGACTTCACCTGTTGTGTCTATATCCAACGAAATGTTTCGCTTCTTTAGGATCTTTGCAAAATCATGGAAGAGATCACAAGATTTTATGGCTCAGCTGTCAATAATATATTGCAAACAGCCATCACTGATGCAATCCTAAAATGTTAAAAAAACCAAAAAGAGGATCTGTCCTGAGCAAAAATAAAATGGTTCAACCTCAATTTAAGAAAGACTGAAGTGGTGGGAGTGGAAAGGGGAATATACAATACTTGAAAGCCTTCAGTAGAGAAAGGAAAAGTGCTACAAATCTTCAGCTGTGACTGCTTCCCCACCAAGCTTAAGTAGCCAGAAATCATCAGTATTACAGTACTCACAAGAAATGTTTAGCACCTCACTATAAAAACCAGCATGCTGCCCTTCTTAAACAATTACATAAAATCAGGAACTGATATTACTAGCGTGAGCACTCAGTTACTCTCTGTTCCCTCCCTCAGCTACACTCCCTATGTCTTGCACTCCTTTCTTAATCTTCCTGCCCTTTCCTCCAGCATCAGAGTACCACTAACCACACCCCCTACCCTGCCACTCACCATGCTATTTACAAACTAATCTGAACAGGCGTGAAAAAATTAACCTTCCCTCACTTCCAGCTCACAGTTAATAAAGGTGCATGCCCAGCTGTGTATCTGTCATCTCTAGAATGGATTACTGTAATTCATATAATGTGAAGCTGATGACAATGACTCCAGCTGGTACAGGATGCAGCTGCTTGCTTCCTCCATGGTTTAGGTCAAAGAGACACCTCAGGCTCTATTGCCCAATTATTTTTAGATGCCAGTTCAAGTCCTACATTGTAATCTCCAAAGCTCAAATTTGTGGTACATTAAAGATTAAGTTATTATCTGTGAATACTAGAAATTTACGCACCTCTTGAACAATACAGATCACAAAGCTCTGCATGAAAGTTTTTACAGTTGGAAACAAAAGATTTCCAGTTGTGGGATTCCAGCTCAGCATGATCTTTCAGAGGATTTTAAAAGGATATGAGAATCTAATTATTTCTAAAAAATACCACAAAACTGTTTTTTTTTTGAAGGCACCCCTCCACAGTAGAAGAAAGTACACTATTATTCTCTCCCTACCCTATTTTCAGCCCAAGACTAGAAGACTAAAGAAAGAAAGGGGAAAACCCATACTTCAATAAGTTTTATCCTAAAAAGGCAAGAGTCAGAAGCTGACTGAGAACATCACTACTATTAATTCTACTTAGAAAGCACTGATACACTATGGTTATGGGAAACAATATAAATCACTAAGATAAATAGAACGTGATGGGTAACAGAATAAAACTGCAGGAACATTTTCAGGCAGTAAAAATTGCGTTGGAATCTAATTTCCATTCCTCTTCTTTAAATGATCCCATGCATGTTCAGATTAAAGTAGAACTGTAACAATGTGACTGCAGTGAACTCCATGCCTTGAAGAAGCAGATACCTAATATCTGACTTACAAGGCAACAAGACCACCTACTAAGTCACTTCTTTACACTATGTAAACAGAGTTCTTGCCCACATCAGGGAGAATGCTGAACTCTCTCAGATGCTTATTTTTTGGTAATTTCACTAGCCTAATTAGCTTCATCTGCACTGGCTCAGAGACATGGAATCACTCAAAAGAAAAGTAATTTTTTGTTGCTGGTCAGCTTATGCTCGGCTTTGTATTTAGAAATTAATGAGAAATTATTTCCCAGATGCTTCTTTCAGTTCCAGCTGCTCCACCTGCCCAAGGTATTTTTAGGAAGCAAACTGCATCGTAACTGTCCTGTTAAATGAAAAAAAAAAAAAAACCCTAACAAAAAAACCCAAACCAAAAAACTTCGCTCAAAGTATCCTTTATTCCTATGGAAAAAAAAAAAAAGCACTGAATACTTCCCCTGGAAATCATTTTAAGTGCTCAAATCAACAAGTAGTCCTTTCGATCAGAGACATACACCTCACCTTTCAAGGCTGCTTGTTCAGCTTGTGTATACATCCCTAGAAAGAAGTACGTACAGGCAAGGTTCACCCAAACATCTGGATTGCAAGCTGGTTGTTTGGTTAAGGCCTCATATTCCTGTAACAAAAGACAGGGCTGATTTTTAAAAAATGTGTAATAGCACAGACTTGTATTAAATATCATTCTTTCTTCTACCATTTTACAATGTATCGTTAAATTATTGAACTCAAACGACTTATTCTCAAATTCACTGCAGTTCTTGCAATGAAACGATACATCCCTAATTTTTTTGTTTACAGCAATAGAACAGGCAACAGAGACAAGCAGCGCTACAAATCTTCACTCTAGGAACATGAATCCTGCCAATACTGAAGTTATATTATAAATAACTTTTATATATTTATTATGTATTTATATATTGTAAATATATTATTATTTATACCTCTATAAGATAAATATATTTAAGGTATAAAGGCATCCACATAACCAACTTTCCCTGTCTTTGCTGATGCTTTCCTAGCTTCTCCTCCAGTTAAAGCCTGGGAGCCATAGACGCCAGGGAAATCTCTATGTGAATACTTACTGGAGCAAGTATTAAACATGCTTTTATAAACCTGTAGATAGTATCTTAGTATAGATTAAAACAGCGGTCTCCAAAGTGGGGTGTGCACATCCCAGTGGTTGTGCAAGACAATACCATTGGGTGCAGGAAGAAAATTTTTTTGGTACCATAAATAACTAAAATATTTTTAAAATGGTGTTTATTTCATCTTTATCCCATACTTTTAAAATTTCTACTTTTGTGTATGTTTTATAATTACATATTAGTATAGTAGTACATGTATATAATTTACAAATATATATAGGTATCACTGATAGGGGTGGCATGATCAAAATTGTTTGGAGACCACTGCATCAAATACAAGCCACATATTGGGCAAATTCAAGATTTCCTAATAGATAAAGTTATAATAATAGTAAATATTACTAAACTGTGCCTACCTTCACCATTTCCCATTTTAAGACTGAGGAGCCAATAGCTATAGAAAAACACTAGATATCATATTCTGATATTTCTTACACATCCACATTCATTACATATCCTTTAATGCTGTCACATAAACTGCTTCATTTCCTGTTATTTGTGAAACAGTAAAAACTTAACAGATCAATCTTTCAATTTACTTCTTTAAGGAAGAAAAACTTTGCAGCTACCAAACAGTGATATTCCTGAAGATAAACATCTTTGCTCTGTGTCACAATAGGTACTAAAAACAAAGGCAGGGAGACCTCTCCATGCCATTGTTTTTCCTGTCAGGTTTCTGTTAAATTACTAGGAAGGACCAGCCCAGTGAAGTGCCTCCTGCTGGTGCTCCTGCTCTCCATCCAGACAGGTCCAACAGGCAGCATTAGGCAAAGCAGGCAGGGTCACACAAGGTTCTCACAAGACCTGCTGAAGGAATGAATGCCATCCACATACTTCCCAATCAGAAAGGCACAGATGCAGATATAGCACTAGATAAAATAAGCCATGCCCAAAGGATGGTGAATCCCAATAACAGAAACATGCTGACAGCAAAGACGTCTACAGTTTGCAAGCATAAAGATTTTTTTTTTCTGTTGCCAAGTAAAAGTAAACTGCACTCCCAAATAGAGAAGATATTGGCAAGGTATGCCCTTAAAAGCCAGCTCAGCCTTGCTAGTACTTCAGGGACTAGCTGTCCTTCAAGAAGATTTAAAGTAAATAACTAAAAGTTAATAAAAATAAAAATTAAACACACACACCGCCAACCTTCCCTGCTGAGGCCAGTTCAATCTTGAAGTAGGCCAGCCATGGCGCTCTGAGAGACAGGTCACTGCTGTTTATTGGGACCATCTGGAATCTTTCAAAATCCATTCAGATTAAATGCACCCAAAGGTCTCTTTCGGCTATGGCTTCAGGCAGATTAATTAGAAAAGACAAAATGCATAAACACAAGCCATGTTCTGGCTTGGCCATTCAAAGCAAGCAATAAATAAAGAGTGCTCTAGCAGTACCAACGTGAATCTATGGAAACACAGTAAATAAAAATGAGGACTATTAGTGCTCCCTTACCCTGTAGTTCTGGGCCATGAGCCCAGACTATGTGCTGTTGCCCCTTTCCTCACTGAAAGGCATTCAACATCAATCTCTCAAAGACTACTTCACGAGAGCTTTCCCCCCTCTTGCCAAAACAACAACAAAACCTACCAAACTAAATACTCCAAAAGCTTTCCCAACAGTCAACCTGTGGCACATTTTTGCCAACTAGGAGCATAACAACTTCTTGCTATTTCACCCTCCTCCACCTCTCGCCCCTATCATGAGAAACACGCACTTTTCCTCAAAAGCAGGCTGCCAGGTTGACTGCCTAAAACTATGGACACCTACTGACAATGCTGAGACCAGCAGGATTTTGCTCAGTGCCCTTATTTCTTGTCTGGATTCTCCAAGCCAATAAACACAGACCTTGAAGAGCCAATAAACAGGCCAACTTATAGGGCTGCCCCACAAGTGCTCAAAGGAGGTGTGGAGATACTCACTGTAATTTGGCTATAGCCATGACAGAGAAGTCTAGAGAACTTTCCAGAGCCAAAAATCCATCTTTTATTTTCTAGCTTCAGCTGTCAGGGACTTGAGTGTACCTGTATTCTCACACTTCCCACAGAATTACTTGAGCAAGACCAGATATTGCTCATGGATGAGCTATTGCCCTAGTATACCCCTATTCCTTTCACGATTCACTGTTTGACTGAAATTATCTTGAGCCAAGTCAAGGCAGGCAGGAGGCCCCATCCAATGAAGAGGTGGAATGGCTCCTGATTCTTTGCTAGGAGGGAGGTGGCAGATAGGAGAGACTGTTTGAATCCCTGGCTGTAATTTGTGAGATTTTGACAGAGACAATACATTGAAGGCTCTGGCCCAGGGATCATGTTTGCTCTCACATGTGCAGCTTATGAGCCAAAATGGCATTACCATGTCTGGCAGCTGTACCATGCCAGCATCCTGTGTGCCCAAGCCCAGTCAGAGGGTGCAGAGTGCAAATGTGAATCCTGTTCTCAAACCCAACCTAGCAGCACCTCTGCCCTTGCCAATTCCTCTTTGAAATTGTCAATACCTCAAATATGTCTTACAACCCTCCCTTTCTTAGGTCCTGGCTGCTTCAATTTATAAGATGAGGCAGCTCAGAAACAGAATCATTGGACTGATGCTCGGATTCTGGTCCCTGAGTGACGTTGGGAATTTTTTCAGGAATGGTTTAAGTTTAGTGATATGAACATGTCATGGCAGAAGGACAGCTGACTTTTTCCCCATGAGGGATAGCAGAGGTGGAAGACTCCAGAAAATTAATTAGATGCTGCCATCCACTAGGGCAGTTCTGGTTGCCATGTGATGCCAGTAAGACACTAACCACCCACTGTCAGTAAAAATCAGTTTGTGAGCAAAGGGAGCTAGACAGTCCCCAGGGAGGGACTGTCACCATGACTGCTGGAAGAGTGAAGTCCAGTGCAATACCATTTGTAAATTGATGTACAGCAGTAGGGATGATCCCACCAGACCAGTGTTGGTGGTACATCCTTTGAGAAAGGCATCTACCTACTAAGAAAGGGAAAGTGTGACCCTTGTGAAGCTGAGGTTAGAGCTCTACCTAGAGAATACCTGCCTGTTGTGTGTGAATGTGGATTCTCTCATGCAAGTGTGCCAGATATTTTGCTGTCATTCTTTCTGAAGATATTCTTGGAGCCAGAGGTCTGCATGTTTTTCATTTTTTCTCTGCTTTTCCCAGTAGTGGATGATGGCCACCTCACCCCAATACCCAAGCCTCTCCAAAAGCTGCCATGCAACCAGCATGCCTGGCTCACTATGAAAATATCATTATAAATAAAAGGATTATTGAGCAGCAGAATTTCTGAAGAGCCTCATCAGGTACATGGAATACAAATCATAGACTGGGAATATAGTGACACAGACTAAGCGTTGTCACTTGCAGGCACTTCAGAGTGTGAATCATTTAGATTGCGTGTAATGTCACTCTGGAGAATTCTGTAGAATCTTCTACCCACAGTATTTTATTTACAGTGCTCTCGGCTCACCCTGAAGAGTGCTCCAAGATCTAGACAGTATGGATAATCAAGGAATTTGTCCTTGAGAATACAGCAACAATGCCTCTGTAACATAGCAGAGAAGATACAGCATTAGAGTTCAACCTTGAAGCTGATAACTGAAAGGCAATTCAGTTATTGCTGACTCCCAGTGCTCTGTCCCAAAAGAAACTAGGTTGAGATGCACAGGCTCATTTCCCACATGCCACCACAAAATTACAAAGTTATCAGGACTCATCACTGTGCCAAAAATCAGTCTTAAATCTGAAAAGATAGGCCCTGTGATCTCTCACTTAAAACAAACATACAAACAAACCAACCACAAACCATGCATACAAACCTTCTATTGTCCCTACTCGGGCAGAACAACAGGAAAAAGAGGACTATGTTGCAGTTTTTAAAAGCCTGAATCAACAGCATCACCTAGTGGTGAATCAAACACCACATACAAAATCTTTAAAAAAAAAATAAATAAAAAAAGCTATTACTCTTTCATTGAAGGAAACATTTAAAATCTACTCGGGATATAAAACCAGCTACTGGCTATTCGAAATAGCAGAATTTATTTCAAAGAAATTGCAGCTATTTTTCATTTGTATACAGCCATTTTTCTTTTTTTAAACTTTCACTCCCAATTAAGACCTAACATCTAGATATAAATTAAGTAAAGCAACTGTTTGCTACATTCATAATCTTTAAATTCGACAAGTCTCAACATGAATATTAAGTTGCCACTATGTTCTATACTACTATTCTACATTCTATATTGTGTATACTGTCAATTTGATTCACTGAGCGCTTCTAATGTCTCCAATGGATATTTCCTCTTCAATTTTTTAAGACAAGAGGAAAGTGCCTTGTGAACTCACTTGTAAGCTTTAGAAATTCTATTTCTGCCTCACACATGAATCTTGTGCACGTGACCATGTATTACTATAGATAAACACCAGATTTTATCTAAGAGGGAAAATATCACCGTTGTTCTATCATCTATTTCTCCATGGTTATTTTCTGTTATTAATACTTCAAATTATCATCTGTTTTTAATATTTCTTCCAGAAAGTTAAAAGACCAAGAAAAATTTTCTCAGAGCACAGCTATACTTCACAGTGCATTGTGATGGAGATCCCCCCCAGCTGACACTGACGAAAACCAGTAAGTCTTAAATGGTGCAATAAAGCATTGTATGGATCCAGCAATTCGCATTGGTAGGAATACAGCAATGAGACAAACACTACTCAGGCAGACTAAGTTGTTTCCAAATCTTCACAAGCTTATATGTAGCCTTGTGGGTATCACTGCACCACTCTCCACAACACTCCCTGTTCTGGTGTGCACACTGATTCCAAGCCCTCGGAGGTACAGAGCAAGGCAGGCAACAAAAATTTGTTAGGACTTCAACAGAGAAATAACTTCTCAGAACAACTGTGAAGTTAAAGGGATCCCAGGGACACTGGCAACAAATTGAATTTCACTGGAGACATAAATGGACACAAGAAAAAGAACTGCACATGGACTCACATACTGGAAGAGACACAACAGCACTATATGGTGCAGATATTAAAAATCTATGTGTATTTAAATAATCAACATGTCTTTTAGAGATGTGAAGGTTTTGGAGAACAAGAATGTCTCATTTAATTGAATTACCTAATACAAGAAAACATAAAGAAGAACAATAAAGTGCGTTACATGGCCGGGGCATCAACCTCTAAAGAAAGAATTTAAAAAGCATGCATATGACAGGTAAGCTACACAATGAAGACAAAGACATAACTAAATGTGAAAAACAAAACTGTGGACAGCTAGCTGCAAAAAGGGAATGGAAAATTTAAAACATGATCTATGACATTTAAAAGGGCAAATTAGGCTACTGAGCACAGTATTATTATTAGGGAGGTGTTTTTTCTGCTCTAATCTGCTCTGGTGAGAACACCTGGAACATTGTGTCCAGCTTTGGAGCCCTCAGCACAAGAAGGACATGGAACTGTTGGAGCGGGTCCAGAGGAGGGCTACTAAAATGATCCGAGGGCTGGAGCACCTCTCCTATGAGGACAGGCTGAGAGAGCTGGGCTTGTTTAGCCTGGAGAAGAGAAGGCTGCGGGGAGACCTGATTTCGGCCTTCAGTACTTAAAGGGGGCCTATAGGAGAGATGGGGAAAATCTTTTTAGCAAGGTCTGCCATGACAGGACAAGGGGTAATGGTTTTAAACTAAAACAGGGTAGATTTAGACTGGATATAAGGAAGAAATTCTTTACAATGAGGGTGGTGAAACACCGGAATGGGTTGCCCAGAGTGGTAGTGGAGGCCCCGTCCCTAGAAACTTTCCAGGCCAGGTTGGACGGGGCTCTGAGCAACCTGATCTGGTTAAAGGTGTCTCTGCTCTCTGCAGGGAGGTTGGACTAGATGCCCTCTAAAGGTCCCTTCCAACCCAAAGCATTCTATGATTCTGTGATTAAATCAGACAGCAGATAAGATTTAAAAAGGTCTATTTTCATAGGCAAATACCTTTTTTTTTTTCATTCCAAACTTCTTTCCACAACATCTGCCTTATTACCATATATTTGTACCTATTAAGGCTGGCAGAACTGTTCCCTATTACAGAACATCTTCCTCCTGTTGTCATCCCTTTATAACAACATCCTGATTTCCAACCTTGGGGAGCAGGATTTCCCCACCTTACCTCCAGTGCTCTCTTGTAGTCACCCAAATGAAAGGCAGAGTATCCGATCCAAAGGTCAGCATCCTCCTCCTGCTCACCCACGTGCCGCTTAAACTTTGTTGAGAAGAAAGAACATAACAATTTTGTCAGCTGCCACACAGTTTATAAAGCCCCACAGGTAATCCAAGTAACCCTAGGCCATCTTATACCACGGATGGTTTGGCAGCTACGGATGCTACTGGGGTGAAGCTGCTCCCACATTTCCGAGGGAAGCAGCAGACAACCCTCGCAT